CAAATATCTCAATTATTGATTGAGATATTCAAATGAAACTTACAATACTTATTTATAGTAACAATGTTCATCAGATTGACAAGTTGGATTACTCTGCCTACAATATTTACAGAATTATGCCCTTTTTTAACTTAGAAATGTTAGTTAAAGTTTTTTTGTAAAGTCAGATATCTCAATTATTTCTTAAGGTATTCAATTGAAATTTACAATACTTTTTTATTGTAACAATGTACATTACTCTGCATGTATTTTGACTGAATTATGCTCCATTTTGTACTAAAAAAAATCTCCTTTTCTTGGTTAAGTTTAACATGCAAGTTTTGCATATCTCTGAAACAATTAAAGATACAAACTTGAAACTTCATATGTATATTTGTGGCATAAATAATGATCACTGAATAGCACACATATCTGTGTCATGTATTTAGGCTGATTTATCTCCCCCTTTTTTACTTAGTCTCTTGGTTAATGTTTACATGTAAGTTTTACATATCTAAATAATAATCAGAGATTTTGATTTCAAACTTCACATATGCATGGAGGGTCATAATTGTATGTCACTGACCAAGTTCCATAACTCTATCTTGCATTTAGGCTGATTTATCTCCCCTTTTCTACTTAGTCTCTTGGTTAATGTTTACATGTAAGTTTTACATATGTCAATAACTATCAGAGATTTTGATTTCAAACTTCACATATGCTTTAAGGGTCATAACAGTAGGTCACTGACCAAGATCCATAATTCTATCTTGCATTTAGGCTGATTTTTCTCCCCTTTTCAACTTAGAAATTCATGTTAAAGTTTTGCTTGTAAACTGTTATCTCCATAACTACTGAAGGGTTTGTGCATCTTAAGAACAAGCCTTTGTACCTTTTCGGTCAATTTTATGTATTCATATAGGTAAGCATTATTATACTCATAAAACACTCTTGTGATAACATTTTCGAATAGTCGAGCCAATACTATCCTCCGACAGTTCTTGTTATTATAAGGCTGACTTTTACTATTTTCTTATTCCTATTGATAAGGTGTCTAATTTATTCACATACATGTCTTGAATTGGTTAATATACAACAATAGTAACGCAAACCAAGCGGGATTTCAGTTTGCGTCCTTTATGAAATTTTAAAAAAAGATCATATATAATTTCTTGGAATATTCTGAGTTAACAGTTTTTTTCTACTTTTTCTAATATGTATATAGCAGAATTATTTTATTTTTGCAAAACATGAACGTTTCAAAAACATTTATATGCATTAAGTATGGAAGGTTATTAATGCCAAAATTACATCTTGCTTTCTTACGTTACATCGTGCTTTCAACGTGTACATATTGCATTCTGACATGTACATCTTGCATTCTGCCTTGTACATCTTGCATTCTGACTTTTACATGTTGCTTTCTTACGTGCACATTATGCTTTCTTCTGTGTGCGTCTTGCTTAATTGTATGTTGATATCGTTATTTAACGATCAATTATTATTCATTTGTTGATGTGGTATATTAATTCAATAACGTAACCTGCAACTGTTTGTATTTGGGTCTATTTACTCAGCTTGAATGACGCATAGCCGAAAGCCGAATGCAGCATGACATCTGGTGTAATAATATGTGACAATATGCGCTACAGTTATATTCTCGGTAAAGTCCGTATTGCGGTTCGGATTCAGTTTGCCAAATTACGTCCCTTTTACGTAACCATATTATGATTTGCCGACTTTTAACATTTTCCTGACATTGACTGAATAGCGCCATCAATATTTATATGAAACTTGTTTGATTTAAGTGATATTCATTATTGAATATGGGTCATTACGGAGTTGGGCTTTCTTTTTATTTACCTTATTCAGTAGCGTGAATACATTTATAATTCTCACTTAGAAGTAAGAATTAAAAGTGTTAGACATTTTGTGATAGTATTTTGTGTGAGTATTTCTGTTTGTAATACTATGCATTACACAGGAGTATCTGTTTAATAAAATCTAGTCAGATATTATTAAAATTGCCGCTTTGTGATTTGCCGAATATTGCACTAATATAATAATCGAGTACAAAACTGAATTCTATTTTTATCAAACCTATATTGGATAAGGCGACAGGCAAAATGAAAACGAGGCTAAATTGATATGTTTGGATCTGAAAATAATTTATATTGGTGCAAACTCTGCAAGTTCATTGACCACATTTTAGCATGAAATGAATATCAGTATCTCTTCGAAAAACATAAGATATATTCCTGTTCTTACACGAAAATGACTTGTATGTAGTTTTATTCAGTGAATATGGAATCTCTGAGAGGACAGGTGGCAATTATAACAGGTAAATTACTGTATTGATATTCTATGTTAATATAACAAAAGGGTTTAAACAAGCTGAATTAACCATACTTTATATTTATTTTGCACCGAAAGTAGATAAATAACACTGTCGTTTAAAGTTTAAATTTATTAAACCGTAATATGTGCATGCCTCGAGTGTAAACAATACACCGTTTTAAAAATATCAAATTTCAAATTTTGAGAAATGAAGAAGTATTAAAAAGATTGAGACGGTTTAAATGTTAATGCAAAATATGGATAATTTTACTTATTGAACTGCTTAATTAATTATCCATACGTAAAGAAGATAGGACTGTTTTCTACCCATTCATTTCACATTTTACTTATTTCTTTGTACATAAAATTTGCATTTAAACGTTATTTATAAACACAGCAAACAGCAACAGGTCGAATTAATTCGGAAGCATACTGTTTAACTTAATACTCACGTCGGACAGTGTTTACATATTTTACACTCAAGAACGTCAAGGTAATTTATTTAAATTATCTGCCCTTGAAAATGACCTGAACGATTCTCTAAATTTTAAGATAAAGATCGCGTATAAATACGAAAATATGCAAAGTTTAAGAAAATTATCTCTTTCAGTCTTTGCTAAGTAAACTGTTGACGGATGTAGTTTTAAAGCAGGAGGTCTCTGGGTTTGTACAACTATTTGTTGTACATTGTATTTCAAATAGTCTTTCAACAAAGTTTTATAATACAGTAATTTTGTTTTTTTTCAACAGGTGCTAGTAGTGGTATAGGTGAAGGTTTAGCTATCAAGTTTGCACAGTTAGGATGTCGTCTGACTCTGTCTGGTAGAAGTACAGAAAATTTACAACGTGTAAACGATTTGTGCAAAGAGGCGGGCTTAAACCAAGATCAAGTAATCATCCGTACTTTTTTTAAACAATCAATTAAACGTCGTTTTTACTGATTTGGTCTATGAAGATTTGTAAGACACTGAATAATTACACTATCTAGTATTAGATATAACAACAAACCGGGGCGTCCGTGCCGAGTGGTTAAAGTCGTTGACTTCAAATCACTTGCCCGTGACCACTGCAGGTTCGAAATCCGACGGGGACCTTGGATTCTTTCATGTGTGAAAGCTATTCATCTAGTTTACGGAACGTCGGTGGTTCTACTCAGGTGCCTGAAGTATTGCACGGGTGGGTACTTGAGGTATTCCTCAACCAGTATAGCTAAAACGTCGACATACTGTGTGGGTGTGACGTAAAACCCAAACAAACAAACTATAAGAACATACAATGAAAGAATTGTACATTTTTCTAGATTAATAACCCTACAAGAAATTATTCTATATGAATTTTCATGGAAAACAAAGAAATAACACATGAAAGTTAACAACATTTACTTCGGCTGAGCACCCTTTTTAAAGATACTTTTTTGTTTCATAGTGTATAGAACTTACAAGTTAAATTATTCTGAAGGATATCATATAATTATTATTACACGTTATTGCCCTTGTGCGAGAGTGGTTGTCTTTAAGATTTGTGGCATTAACATGACACTGCCTGATCGTAACAAGCGACTTAATGGGTTCGAATTACTGGAATCTATACATCTCTTTTTTGACCTCTGGTGTTGCTGTAAGTTTGTAACAACTGAAGTAAGCCAAAACTCATATTTCCTGTTTCGACGCCATATGGCATAAATTGTGTTGGTAAGCCGTAAAACCTTTAAGGTTCCACTTTTAACTACCTAATAATTAAACATGTAATGTCAAAGATCTGTAATCTTTTTGGTCAGATTCCAGTTTACTATGGTATAAGTGAGGTTGCATAAGAAAGGTCACGTGATTATGGTATAATTTACGCAAACCCAGAAATCGTCAACGCACCAATGGTGTATCTGTTTTAACCTATAGCTCCGCCCAGAAACACTTACTCCTTCGATCTTCAAAACTGAAAATTATACCATAGTCTAGGTATGGTATAATTTACGGTTATTGGGAATTATACTTGGAAGAATTTTACATAAGAAGCGCTGAAGAGCTATAGGTTAAAATGCGACTTCGTCTCGTGAGGTTAAGGCATAAGAAAGGTCACGTGATTATGGTATAATTTACGCAAACCCAGAAATCGTCAACGCAGCAATGGTATATCTATTACATATTCAATGGCTCACTAGTCAAAAACTGTATATCATTAACCATTTGCATCTAGGCATTTTATCAATATGTTTTACTGTAATATATTTACCTTGATATTTCAGGTGCTATCGTGAACACATCAAGTATTGGTAGTCAAAAAGCAGTAAGATTTACAATCTTTTAGAATAAAAAGGAAAATAAAAGAAATTAAAGAAAAAATCAGTGTATAATATTATGTTTACATAACAGTTCTGCTTTAAACTATTCTATAGCTTAATATCGTTGATTTCTCTATTGCAATGCAGACATTGGTGAATATATTTTTATATATTAACTGTTAATAGTGAGAAAGGTGTACCAAAAGCTTACAAATTCGAATTGACATTGGCATAGATCATAAATCCGTTTTCCCTCCAGTGTTTGTATTAAATACATTATTATTTAGAAAGCGAAAGAAAAATATCAACGAGTTCACTTTCAGAATAGTCGGGTAAACGATTATTGTAACTATTTGTTCATTTTAACAAATAGATGATCTCAAAATGATTAATACTAACATTACAGATGCCCGAGATTGGGGTTCACTGTATGGCAAAGGCTTCTGTAGACATGTTCACCCAATGTCTTGCTCTTGGTAAGGTCACGTAGTTAAACTTTTTTTTTTGAAAAGCAGCATGCTTCCAGATTCATGCTTATTTTCATGAAAAATTCTTTAATTGTGTTAAAAAGGAAACTATTGTCAAGTGAACAAAAGAAGTAATTTACACGTTATAAAAGGCACTTCAAGTGAACGAAAATTACCAAAAGTTTCATTGTTAGAATCTGACATTGATACTATTATTAGTGATACAATTTTTTGACAGGTTTTATAGCCCTATGTAAAGGCTGTTTGGAAATATAAACCGAGGCGTTTGGCTATGGGTATATTGCAAACAGCCGTTTAGCCTGTAACAAATCTATATTACAGCAAACAACCTTTATTTTCAGAAAAGGTGGGATTTCTTTATATAAACTGACAGCAGCCGTGTATATAAAACTATATAAACGTCACAATTATGCTATTAAAAGCGACGTGCAAAAACACGTGGCTTATAATAAAGTTTTATATATAAGGCTGCTGTCAATTTTTTAAAGAAATCTTGCTGTTTTCTTTAAAAAAAAGGAAGTAGTTTATATAAAAGGTTTTATGAAATATATGTTTTATTTAATTATTAAAGTCTCATCTATACATGTATATATATTTATTATTTACATATGTAAAACATAAAATACAAACATGAAATATATGAATAGCCATTCAAGGAGACTGTTTACTTCTAATGGTGGCCAGGCGGCTAGGGTTATATTTACAAACAACCGTTTATATGGGGCCATATAACCTGTCAAAAATCTTTATAACTAATAATGTATCATGATATTTTTTCTTGATTAATAAAAGTATGAATCACCTTTATTTAGAAATCATTAAGTTATAAAGTCGGGACCATAAAGCAATATTTGTGTCATTTATATTTCAGAATTGGCTCCTCACGGTGTTAGAGTTAACTCCATTAAGTAAGTTACAAAGTTTTTATTTTAATCAATAACTGGAACAAATGTATTTATTATATACTTATCAATAAAATATTGAGAATTATTGATGAAATAAAATGCAAATTCCATTTTTCATATTTTGACCGTAAAATTAGTTTTCACTGCACTGAAACATGTTTACTATATATTCAAGACTGATTTTGAGAATTTGGCTCCCTATAAGATGCTAGAGGCATTTTGTAGTACAAGTGGTATCTTGGTGTATATTTACCTATTTAAGGTATGCTGAATCCGATAAAGGTGGATACCAAATTGAAAAACTTGATCTTGACCATTGAAATGGCCATTTAAAATGACCACTAAAATGGCCGCCAAATTTCTTTATCATAAATGGATGATAGATCAAATAAAACTTTTAAAGAAATGAAAAGCCTGAAATTTGTCACAAAGCATGTTTAGATCAAACTAATAAGACACCAAAACAGAATTAAAAAAAAAAACAATCCAATATGGCCGAAAAATCCAAGATGGCAGACATTTTTCAATATAATAGTAATATAAAAGTAAAGATAGTACTGAAAACTTTAAGGCATTTACACAGCGAACATTACACTCTTTCCTGCCCTATCTGTTAGATATAGAGCTTTCAAATATTTTATCTGGCATTCTATGCAAGCAAAATATACATTAATTAAAGGCACCTTTGTCTGAGTACTCTTGGGTTATGGTGTTCGTTTTTTGTTATTGGTCGTCGTCTTCGTTCTTCTGTTATAGGTTCCTGTCGCATTTCTCTGCTGTCAGTTCTTCTGTTATTGGTCGTGATCTTCGTTCTTCTGTAATCGGTTCTGGTCTCAGATCTTTTGTTGTTTATCGGTTCTCGTCTCTGTTTTTCTGTTATCGGTCGTCGTCTTCGTTCTTCTGTTATCGGTTCTCGTCTTCGTTCTTTCCGTTCTTCTGTAACCAGTCATTGTCTCCGTTTTCTTGTTGTCAATTCTTCTGTTATCAGTCCTCGTCTATGTTATTCTGTTATCGGTCCTCGTCTCTATTTTTCTGTTCTCAATCTTCGTCTGCGTTGTTTTGTGGTCAGTTCTTCTGTCATCGGTCCTCGTCTATGTTATTCTGTCATTAGTTCTCGTCTATGTTATTCTGTTAATAATTAAGAATATGTTATTCTGTTATCGGTCCTCGTCTATGTTATTCTGTTATCAGTCCTCGTCTATGTTATTCTGTTATCGGTCCTCGTCTATGTTATTCTGTTATCGGCGAACGTCTATATTATTCTGTTATCAGTCATCATCTATGTTATTCTGATATCGGTCCTCGTCTATGTTATTCTGTTATCGGTCCTCGTCATGTTATTCTGTTATCAGCGAACGTCTATATTATTCTGTTATCAGTCCTCATCTATGTTATTCTGTTATCGGCGATCGTCTAAGTTATTCTGTTATCGGTCCTTGTGTATGTTATTCTGTCATCGGTCCTCGTCTATGTTATTCTGTTATCTGAGTTATTATCGGTGCCTGTCTCTAATATTCTGTTATCGGCTGTCATCTCTGTTCGCTTGTTGTTAGTTCTTCTGTTATCGGTCGCTGTCTCTAATTTTCTGTTATCGATCCTCGTCTCTGTTCGCTTGTTGTCAGTTCTTGTCTCCATTCTTCTTTCTTCTGTTATCGGTCGTCTTCAGTCTTGTACTTTTGGTACTTGTTTCCTGTTCCGTTAAGGTCTTCTCTTGTATCTATCGTTGCCGTCATTATGTGTCTATGTCCTGGTTTTGTCAGTCTTGTAGTCATTTATTCGTTCAGTGGAGTAGCGGGGGGTCGAACTCACGACCCCTTGATTTGTAGGCAGACAGTGTTACCACTGCACCATAGCGCCCGCTCTGAATAATAACCATTTTTGAAAATCCTTTATACATAAAATACTATTTCAATGGCTAACAAAGGGTGTATTACAATTATATTTTAACACCTCTACTATGTAGCCAACCCACGTGACTTTTATATATGGTCAAAGAAAATATTACTCTATTTTTTACAAGTAATATTCTTATAGATAACTTTGCTGTTACTTTAAAATATCCTGGAAATTTATTTGAGGGTACCCGGAATTCTAATGTATATCAAATAATGTGATAATCCTTTTGTAGATTTTTCTCAAAACCGTGATTGAATTCCAAAATTTTCGAGAGCTGCCAATTGGTATAGCAAGCACACGTATCAATCTTCCGGTTTCAGACATTTTATGACTCGATGAAAATATGGTGTTGTTATTGTTGTTGTTTTTATTATTAACTTTAAATTTCAAATTAAATAGTCAATTATTTTTAAACAAGATAGTTAACATTTGTTGTTTTCTGTATTTTTGTTAAGAATGTGATAAGTATACACTTTTAAGTTTAAGACGACTTTTTAATATTATCGATTATCCATCGTATACCTGTCAAAATCAACAACTTTAAAAAAAATCATAGCTACAAATAATGTTGAAAATTACGGAACACTTGAAATGACATTTTCCACATTTTCTCCCTGAATTGAATTCGTTTTTACGAGATAATAATTCCCAATTAGAAATATTATTTTGTGTAAACGAAATATAAAATCTTAATTACGAAATATTGATTCATTATTACGAAATATTATTTCGTAATTACGAAATATTAATTCGTTATTACGAAATATTATTTCATAATTACGAAATATTAATTTATTAAGAAATATTTTTTTTTTGGTAATATTTATAAACTAAGTTTATTGTTAAATATAAGTCAAGTTAAGAAAACATTAAAAGTGATTTTTTTTCATTCTTAGTTTTATATCTTAGCGCGCTAGTACATTTAAAACAGTACTGTATATACCGTTAATTGAGCCATAAGGCTTATAATCGCTATATTTGGTGGCCAATCTCATTAAAATCTGATCATATTGAATAATCATTTGATTTTGACAAGAATAATTAATTGCATCATATTGTATCATAGTTTTAATGACCTATTTTAGTATTTTTAAGCGTCCATTTTGAATTGACCTTTTGAAGGTCAAGGTTAATTTTCTTTTCTTTGTATCCACCCTCATCGTCTTTAGCATACTCATATTAGGTTAAAACACTCAAGATATTACTTGTACTATAAAATGCCTCTAGCATTCATATTTTCTTAAAGTCAGTCCTGTCTAATATTTTCACTGGTGTCTTTTAAAGGGGAAATCTTGCTAATCGTAAGGTCAAAAAACCAAAATAGTATAATTATAATAAACAGCAAATTTATTTTTTCCCTATAAATACGGGATTTTTTCCAACTTGTGGTATGAAAATTATCATATTTCATACCACTCGATGAAAATAAAGCCTATACTTTATAGAAAAAACTTGAATATCCTCCTGTTACAAATCATCTTTTTTTATAACTGGATACATTCATGGTTTATGATTGTGAATTGTTCAAATAACATTTCTTCCAAGTCACTGAGGAATATTATCTTTAATTCAAAATAGTTCTTGATTTTGCATTTTGCACTAAATACCGTATCGTCCCTTTTAAAAGTTCTGCTGGAGTCGAGATTTTAGATACTTTAGATTCATTTCATAATTTAACTTTAAATTTTCTATAGGTAAAACTAATTGTTTGTCGAGTCATTTACTAGAATATTATATTTTCACCAGCCCTGGTACCATTGTAAGTAATAGTGCGCGGAGACCCTGGGGACCATACCAAGACGAGGAATTATATCAAAAGGTAATTTATATAACATTAAAAAAAAAAAAACCTTTTTTTACGGTGGCAACGACTTAGTAACTCATCGTCACGACTTAATTCATAGCCACGACATAGTATTTCGTTGTTTGTCAGTTAGCACGACCTAATTATCTGGTTTGCACGACTTAGCAACTAGTGGCCACGACATAGTATCTCGTGCGCACGAGATAAATAAAAACACACACTTGTCACCTCTTTGCCACCGTAGTTAACACCCAGCATGCGATCGAATCCTTATGAACAAAATGCAAATTTCAAAGACATAAGTTAAAAACATCCATTTATCATAAACAATGATATATGAAAATAAAAAAACATACTTTAATGACAATGACATATTATGCAATATGTGTTCTTCTGTTTTCAGTTTTTAGAAAAACAGAAATCCGCCCATCCGTTAGGTCGTGTTGGTCAGCCGAGTGATTGTGCCGAATCAGTAGCTTTTCTTGCCTCACAATCGTCAAGTTTTATAACTGGTCAGATTCTATACCTAGATGGTGGGAGACATTGTGTATCTGTTGGGGTGGCTACCTCTGTGAAAAAATAGTCAGTGTTCATAAAATCATATGTATTGAAAAACAATTGTACGAAAAGAACTGATGAAAATGTAATCAGATGTACTTTCATGTATGCCCCTGCTTGTGTCAACCTTTTCTGTTTATCTGTTTTATACGAACAGGAAAGAATAAAATTCTTAAAAAATGTGTTGCTTTTATTCTCGTTTGATACGAATTAGGTGGACCATATACATAATCATTTTGTAACAATTATTAAACATAAAGTGAATTTATTGAAGAGTAAATGTGAAGCAATGTGTAAGCTTATAGACACACTCTTGAACAAAATAGTACATATACTAAGCAAAGGGTGTGATGGAGTTATTTTGCTGAAAGGGGAGAACGTCTGTCCCTGAAAGGGGTTTGTCCCTGACGGGGTTTGAACCCGCGCGGGTTGTCTTGCTAAGATTACAAATCCAACGTATCAACCATTTGGCAACGCAGCCGTCACATTACTTCATTTTTGATGTGATTTGCATTTTCGCAAATACGGTTTTCAAAGTTGAAATATAACAAGGCAATAAAGATAGATTGCAAAATTGAATGCCACGTCTTAATTCTGTGTTTTATCCTTTCTTATAAGAAGTTGTATTGCGCAGTAATTTTCGGAAGTAATTATTATATAGAATTTCCAAGTACCCACATTGCTTTGGCATCATTCATTTTATGTTAATATATTTAAAAAAGCCATCAATAACCCCCTCCCCACAAAAAATATAAATAAAACAACAACAACAAAAATTTCAAGTTTAAGGTAATCATTTACCCTCAAGCAAGGATTTACGTTTGAAAGTACTAGTAATCCCTGACAAAATACGTACAGAAAACGTTTTACTTTCATAAATTCAGTTGAAATGGATAAAAAATTGATTTATTATGTCAAAATATACCGAAAATTATTAAAAATGTGAAAAATACATAAACATTATATAAATTCTATCGAGAAATTATGAAACAAATTAATTTTGCACATGTGTTATTTCTCGTTTGTTTGTCATTACTATATCGATATGTAAATTATATTTAAAATATACATTGGTCTATAGTGGTCAATATTGTCTACCTTTCAACCCGGTCAAATTTAGTAACATTCTGTCTTCTTTTGTGTAAGCTATGCTTGCTGTTTCTTTCTATATTATCACTATCTTCTTCACACTTAACTTAACTCATTACTCGTTCTGTAATCTTTATTTCTATAACATAGCTCACTTACTACTTACCCCGGAACTGTTCATTGCCACTTTCTACGACAAGTTGAACATTCTTCTACATCCTTCACATTACTGTTTACTTACAGTTACCCTTTTTTGTCACTCCTTTCTGTCTACATACTTCTTCCTAAATGTTCTCTACTGTCTTTTAACTTTCTAACCTTTGCTTCTCCGGTCTACAAATGCATTACTTCCTGACTGCATTCTGCTACCTGAACATAGCTCACTTCTTCCTACTTCTCTAAGAAGGTCGCTTCCTGATTACCCTGTCTTCTGCTGCCTAAATTAAACTCACTGTCTACTATGCTCAGTCTCAACTGTTCCTTAAACATAGTTTCCTACACTTTGAACGGTTCTTTTTCCATCACTTCCTATCCCTAACTTTACTCACTGTCTTTTTTCATCATTGTACTTGGTCCACTGTCTCCTTCTCCCTGAACATTCAAGAAAGCTGTTTACACTCAAATGTGCTTGATCCGAAACCTTGATCCTTTTAATACTGTTTAAACCGCCGGTTGGGCGTAAAAGATTTTATACTTTATCTCTCCTGAACAAACTGATTTTCAACATTTTATTTCTTTTTCCCATTGGCTTTTAAATATTTTCCTTTCCAAAACTTTTATGACGTCCTAACGTTGTCATTAGTTCTTTCTCATAGGTTAAGAAGACAGGCGACAACAAATACATGTATGTAAAAGTTTCCAAAACAAAAACCCTTCTTAACCTAAAGGCAATGAAATTCTCAAAAATGTTTTAGTTTCATTCTGTAGAAATAAGTAATATAATGAATAAATGTGATCTAAAATGGTATAACACATGTGAGATGCTTTTAAGAAAACAGCGCTGAATATGATTTATTTATATGACGTAACATGATTGTTACAAAATATAAACAAAGTGGTATTTAGTATTCCATACAAATCACAATAACATAGCATTTCGATATATATTCTTGGTTGAATAATGATTCAATTTATAGAATGATCATAATACACAAATTATGTACGACAAAGACCACATCTGAGGAAGGTAACGCAAATGATTTAAAATGATTTTTATTTTTTTAACATTTTCCTTTAACACTTTAAATTCTCGAGTTGAATATAAATATATATTTAGATTTAATATAATACATTAGATTTTTTAAGTAAACAGTTAACTGTGTGCTCAAACATAACAAGATTGTGTACAAATGCAATTTTTGCACATTTATAAATTCATTTAAAATAAATCGCACAAATCTGTGAACTGTTTTCTTAATTTGCACTTTTGATGTCTTCTTGTTAATTTTTAGCGATTCATGAAATACATCTCACAATCATAATTGCGATCACAATCATAATTGTGTGCCGCTCTCCACTATTCCAGCAGATGGATGTCCACCATTGGATACACTTGTCAAATATGGTGTAACGCCATTATTGTCAATCCCTGGTTCAAAACTGTCATTTATATATACTGACTTCTCTAATTCTATCCCTCTTTTTTCATGTCTCTGCAAATGTAAAATATATGAATCAAATGGTAAAACAGAGTACTGATCGAAACATTTGGTAAAGAAGAATTTTAACGCCATGTAATGTTACGAACAGATAAAATGGTATGGTCGTTATGACTTGGTCTATTCAGATTAGTGATAAAGAGAAAAAAAAGAGAAAAAGAAAATACAAACGGCCATATTACAAGGGTCAACAGATAATTTGAATTAAGTTCCTGAAGGAAACCAAAGCGACGACGAATTAATTCGATGTATAAAGGAATTAGTATAGCAATTTACTAGATGAAAACACGACATTTTGTATTGATTAACTGGTATATAGAATTCGGAATTCAAATTGCTTTATGTGTTTAGTGTTGAAATTCTTGGGAGTGTTACATACCTTTCTATCGAATCTATGGATTCTCTTGCAGCATAAAGGCAAGTAACAACACACACGATCTGCTGCTTTATGTATCAGAGTAGGGTCCACATCATCAGGATCGTTAAACTCTGAAACAAATACACATACACTTACTTCTTTGATAAAACATTTTGTTTTCTGTCTCATCTTTATTTATTCATTCTGAAGAATCGATGCATAAAAAAGAAAATACTACTACAAAGTTTAAACTATGGCATGAAAATTTATAATAGTTTGAGGTCCCAGTGTGATTTTGACATATCGTAACAAGCTATAGACAGATATAAATACCGGTATTCAAAATACGCGAGTGGACACAAAATTGTTATTATTTTTTCTGTTGAATAATTAACACTAGAAATTTTTACACTACATGACCATTTCAGGCAAAATACTACAAGCAAGTATGAATTTAAAATATTAAACAATTTTATGCATTATGCATATAAAAACAAGGGAAATACAGCCATATTGAATAAATATATGGTAAACACTGTGTTAAATCAGAACTACGCTTTTACGCATTCTTCTAAATTGCCACCATAAAGGGTACAATTTAACGCATTGTCTTTTTATCTAGCATTATTTTAAATGTTTGTGTCAACAGCAGAATTCATAGCATCAAAGGTTTGCAAAGCTTGTCTTCCAAAAACGATGTTGATTTCACTGTTTTTACTAAATAAACAGCTATCACGATCGGTTTAAAGAAATGTGAAGACATTAATTATATGTCATTTTCGGAGTAACCTGTGATTAAGGAGTTACCTGTGATTAAAGATGATATAATTGTCACTATTGTTCCAGTAATTATCGAGATCAACACGGCAAACAAAGCATACCACAAATACGACAGATGATATATCCAGCTATAATAATAGTGTAAAACAATGATAATATATCCAGCTATAATAATAGTGTAAAACAATGATAATTTATCCAGCTATAATAATAGTGTAAAGCAATGATAATATACCAAGCTATAATGTCAGTGGTTTTGTTTAGTAAAAGCATGCATGGATTACAAATTCTAACATAAAAGAACAGCACTGTGTTATATACTTCAGTGACTTTTATTTGAAATTTGTGAAACTTATTTCAAAACTTGAGAATGTGTCTTTCAATAAACATTATGTAATAACACTTACAGACTGTTGTCCTCAACTATGTCACTGCTTTCTGATGATGTAGATAATGAAGGTGTCATTATAGTTGACGTCACCATATTGCCTGTCACATTGAGATTATCCATGACAGTTTGGGCACCACACGAATTGTTGAAGTTCAAGCACATATCAGCACTGACTTGTTTTATTTCAGGTAATGGAACAAGAACTGTTCCTCCTACACCAATCCAGAATGTTAGTACCGCACTTACTATGAGTCCGAACAAAGCACCCTGAAAATATATAATGAAAAATATTCCGTATCATTTAAAATGAAATATACTTTCACAGCAAACTTTTTCCCTTGATACTTCACAATAGCGTACCTAATACTATGTAACACTTAGGTTTCAGTAAAACGGAAAGATGACGGAGGCTCAAACAAATTTGCCTTTTAAAAATACAACAAACAGTAACAACAACAAAAGAACTATAAAATATTTACCCATGTGGTCTATTGACATATATTTGCGCAAACTTTGCGCTGTCTTTACTTTTCATTGGCTGATTTAATATACAATCTATTTTCATACTTTTCAACGAACAAGGAACTTTTTTTATGGTTTACATTAAAAGAGTATAATTACCCATTCATTTATCCATGGCATGAAAAGTCCAGATATAAAAAGTCCTAGCAACGGACCTCCAACCATACCAAATATACTCAACATGATCTGCAATGTTAGAATTTTAAACTATATTATAAATTAAATATATATGATAGAATAAGACACGTGGTTTTTATGTAACGGTTTAGCAATGCTAATAAGAATGTACGGCAATACAATTTAAATACAATTTGACATAGTACTTGCTTTAAATCACCATCTAGATATAAAATAAATAACAGTGCATACTTTGCTGAACAACACCCTATAAATAACAGTGCATACTTTGCTGAACAACACCCTATGAGAGACAATTATTTTGGTTATTTTACATGTAAACCTTTATTTTGAGAAGAAATAATTACAACGTTTGTTGATTACCGCTCTGAAACTGTATAAATTGATAAATGTTCCATTAACAAAAATGTTATTTCTTACAAAAGCCAGACATTAAACATGACATAATATCTAACCAACCAACCAACCAACCAACCAACCAACCAACCAACCAACCAACTAATCAACCAACCAACTAATCTTGTGTAAATTTGTTTTTGAAACCCATCCAGCAAAGTTAACTTTTTTACTTAAAGGGGAATCTACTGAGTCTTGTAGTTTATACTTATTTTTAAAAACAAATCTATTATATTTACAGCTATAACCTTATTGAAACACTCTCGAATCTTTTCCTGGAACCCAGTACTAAGCAATGAGTGTTAAGTTTCTTGCTCAAGGAAACAACGGCTTGTCCCTGACGCGGCTGGCAATCCTCAGATAACTAGTCCGATGGGTTAACCACTTGGCCATGACATAAAGGAACTAGATATATTTTTTCGAGAATTATGAACCATTTGATGTAGGTCTAGACTAATAAATTGTGTGCAAATTTCAGATTATTCCGTTTTCATCGAATAATTTTATTTCATTGTGCAAAATGGTAAAAAAAATGGGCACAAACCGGAATAAAAAATCCTGCAATTGAACTTTTGGTACATTTCTTTCTTATCTTTTTCAGATTTTTTCCACTGTAGTTGCATCACTTAATATATATGCACACATTGTCGACCTCTCCGTCAACATAATATCGAGGGCTTGGTGCAAAACTATTGTAACTGCTTACATAAATCAAGGTAGTTACAATAGTTTTGCACCAAGCCCTCGTTATAGTATATTATAAACAGTTTACCTGTAAAACAGTTTGTCCAAGGAACTGAGAAATAAAAGCCACACCTATAACTACACCACCACATAACAAGCCTGAAAACAGACGTATTGACATGATAATAATTATTTGCTCTTATTCAGATTGATTTATGCCATTTTTCGGCATTCCATGTTATTCATTTTGTACTTTAATCCAATGCAAAACTGCTGGATCTATAAAAATATAAATCTGTATCGATTTTGATTGCAAAAATCAAATACAAATTGATTTTCAAAATAAGAAATAGATTACAAATTATTTGTGATCGAGGAAGTATGAAAATTTATCATTGAAATGATAGAAGGGGAATGGAGATAAATATCTTATGATCGATAATAAACATTTGGCAAATGAATATAGCCATGTATTTAAAATCGTTTAAAGATAAGGAATAAAAAAACCCACTAATAATAGGATCCCATATCAATGACATATTATAAAACAACAATCAGATAAAATACATTTGACGAAAGTAGCATTACCTAATAATTTAGCAAGTCTTGCAATGGTGGTAGGGGTTGGGTTTATGTTCTTCATTTCCCAGAATATTTTCACTATATCCTCCAGTATAACAATAGCCAGAGCATTCAATCCCGACGATATAGAACTGTTCAAATATATATAAAGTTTGAATTATCAGTACAGAAAACACAGTAGATGTGCTTCAAATTGAAAGAGAGAATGATAAGTACATTAAAATACCAAATTAAGTGTTCAGACAAACATAATGTGACACAAACACTGAATACTTGTTCCAGTTTGAACTGTCAATATGTAAGAATTTTTAACTCAAAATGGAACAAGAATGCAAATGTCTAACGTACATTCAAGGACGTCAAAATTTCCATGGACATGAAAACATAGAAGACACAAAAGAAAATAAGTTGAATGATAGTATAAGATTGACGGACGGGTATATAATCAATGCCACGCATTGTAGCAAATTATCTAATTAATAAAATCCTTTTCTATTTGAAAGTTTGCTTGAATATGACTTTTTAATTAACGTTATGCCATAGAAATTATCACGTGTTGCTTGCTTCTGAAGGTGATACTTGTTAACAAATTAAAAAAAAAAGATAGTAAGTTATTACCTCAAAGAAGCGCTAAAGATACAGGCCACAAACAGACCAGATAGTCCCGGTAGAAACGTTAATTTGTCCATAACTAGAAAAGGTAGTAACTGAAATAGACACAGTCAACTATATAATTATAGCACAAGGACTTTCTCGTAATAAAAATACAAGTATTAACAATTTTTGTGACGAATTTTGTAATATCTTACAAAATAGATAAGCGCGAATGCAAAAGATTCTTCTGTTTAAATGATTAAATAATACTTATTGTAGCAAAAATCAAAAGCAAACTGGAATGAAATACTTGAACTTAGTTACGGTATTGGATTATTGGAAATAGTGAATTTGATATTCGACTTTTTTAAATGAGCACATGTAAAGCCCAAGTCCTTATGTTTTCACTAAATGAAATCAATTTAATAAATAATCTAAAATCTTTCAGAATCGAGCTTTATCTAGTTTTAAAACAGAAATATTTTGAGAAAATAAGTTTATTGCCTGATACATTTTTTTCTGTGACGTTTTTATGTATTTACATTAAATTTACTTAAGTCAAAACAATTTACCAAGAGTGAGTATGTATTTTCTCTTATTGTCATGTTTAAGATGGTTTTAACAGTTTTCTTGCGTCAAAAAATGACTCACCTGATCTCGGGCGTGCACATGTCCAAGAATTAGTGGATCACACGAATGATATGTTGAATATATAACAATTCCTACCACACAGACTAGAGTAGAGAGTATTAGGGTAAGAGGTAAACTCAGGTATAAAGCCCTGAAAAAAATAACGTAACTTCTATATGGCAAATTTGATATTTATCATACAGATAATGCTAGAGAAACACCGAAAAAATATGCTTACATAAAGTCAAGTATTTCATTTAGAAATGTAATATATGCGTAAGTAGAATACCCAAAATATGAGATTCAAACTAAAATTGAATGACATTAATATATCTGATTGATTCAAAAGTGATAATGCCACAATTCACCAACTTTAACAGTATTAAAATCTCCAACAATTAATGCCCCGCCCCTTGCACGTATTATCGTCAACAATTAATGATCCCAAAGGCCAACCAAAAAATAAGTAAGGGGTGGGGGGGGGGTCTTTCTTAAGTTGCTTCATCGCATAGTAGACGATGTAATGATAAGTAATGTTTATTTTTAATACTAAAGTACAAACTTTTGTGAATTTCTTGGATCCTTGATTGCCAAATATCGTTGTATCATTGTTTGATTGGCTGCATAAATTGTCAGCTGACCAACAAATGAACCAATCACAAGTGCCCAAACAGAATGACGTGTCGTCGGATCTCCGCTCCAACTTGAATGAAATTTTCAATCATATAATGTACATGTAGATTTATCAATATAATTATAGGCATTGTTATAAAGACAAAAGCTTAGAGAAAGATATTCTTTTCCCCTCAATTACCTTATATATTTTACTACAAAACAAGCACCAGAAAATCTTTTTACAAATAATATAATTACATGTATACATGTACTACTGAACATTTATGAAGGAAATATTTACAAAACCATTTCCTTGTTCGTTTTATGTATAGAACATATTCAAGTTTTTTTTCTCTATGAATACAAGATTTATTTTCATCGAGTGGTATGAAAATAGATATTTCACTACTGGTGGTACATATAGCAACGAGTAAAATGCGATCATCTTTAAACCAGGATTGAAATATAAACGCCGTATTAATAAAAAAAAACTTGAATAGTCTGTTTATTCTAAATTATAGTTTTTCTATTTTTCGACCATACAATTCGAAAGAACTCCACTTTAATTATGTGTATTTGCTAATATAGAAGAAAAAAGTCAGACAAGATACCATACGGAAAATATGTTTTATTGCAGTTTGAAAAATATTTTATAGTAAAAATGCGGAAAATGAATATATGCATTTTATTTAATCAATATTCATCAATATTTCATATATAATTATAAGTTTACGATAAAAGGTTACGTTGAATGTTAAATTTTCTTACTCTAAGAAAAAGATTCTTCCTCCATTGTAAGCTATATTCCAGACCTTATCTATTCCACCTAGATCTAGCGAGCCCTGTACTGTTACAGCGATGAGTCCAGCCATCACTACAAATGTCTGAAACGTATCTGTCCACACAACAGCCCGTAAACCACCCTGGATGTTAGACAAATATCATTATATTTTACAAGTACGAACCTATTCAGGATTTTTTAAGATCTGACTTGGGGTACTTTAAATTTTAATGGATATATACAAATCATGTGACATAAGTAAGTGTATAAAAAAGATCAATGACATTAACACTTGTACATGATAAAGAACAAGAAGAACAGAAAAAAAGAAAGAAAGATGAGGAGGAAATAATTAAAGAATAAGACGACGACAGCAGAAGAGTGACAAAGAAAAATGAGTAGACAGAAAAATTACACAGCAGAAAAGAAGATGATGATTAAGATGATGATTAAGAATAAGGTTAAGAAAAAAAAAAGATGGAATCTGAAGAATGCCAAGGACAAAAGACATTCGAGTAGACAGGAAAATTACAGAGCAGAAATGGAGGAAGATGATGATGATGATGAAAAAGATATCCGACAAATATCAACAGATATAACAAGAAAAAAACAAACGATAGTATTACTAAAAGAACTTCTATTAATATATTTATTACGAAATTGAATTAACTTCAGTTGAATAAAGCGGCCATAAAAAGGAGAAAATGATAAACCTCTTGATCCTCTTGATCAATTGTTAAAAGTTTCGAAATATGTCATTATATTGTATTGACGATTAAATAGGTTCATCTTGAAATTTATTTCACGGTTTTAGTGATTTGTCAAATAATTTCTTTATTTAAGTTATATCTGAAATCCTTGATAAGTCCTTGTTGCTGTCAGAGATTATCAATGAATAGTAATTTCAAGGAACATAAATTAGTTAAATCGTGTTTGTCAGTTTTGAGCTGCTTCGCTACCAACTTCAAAATAGCCCCTTTCCAAGTACTAATCAAACACATATGAGCCGTGCCATGACAAAACCAACATAATGGGTTTGCGACCAGCATGGATCCAGACCAGCCTGCGCATCCGCGCAGTCTGATCAGGACCCATGCTTTCGCTATCAGTTTCTCTACTTTAATAGGGTTTGTAAACGAACAGCGTGGATCCTAATCAGACTGCGCGGATGCGCAGGCTGGTCTGGATCCATGCTGGTCGCAAACGTATTACGTTGGTTTTGTCATGACGCGGCTCAATTATATACAATATAATTATGCCGATATAAAGTTGATATTTATATCTTTAATCAAACTTACCAGTGCTGTATAGAACGTACATACAATTCCTATTGAGACGATTGAAAGTTCTAACGACAGACCCGTCACTGTAAGAAAGCAAAAAAACATATACAAAAAAGTTCATATCATTCAATACATTCTTACGTATTCTTACCTATTCGATGGGATCGGCTCTTATTAATTCAATTCCAGTGCGTTTCAAATAACACAGTTTTGAAGCAAAATGCAACCAAATGACAAAACGTCTAAAATATTTTGTAATCTCCACATGGTTCATTAACTCGTCGTGTCAAATGTATGGAGGGTGATTTATGCCAAAATTACATCTTGCTTACTTACGTTACATCGTGCTTTCTAACTTGTACATCGTGCTTTCTAACTTGTACATTATGCATTCTGACATATACATCTTGCATTCTGACTTTTACATGTTGCTTTCTTACATGCACATTATGCTTTCTGCTGTGTGCGACTTGCTTAATTTTATGTTGATGTCGTTTTTTAACGATCAATTATTATTCATTTGTTGATCTGGTATATTAATTCAATAAATTAACCTGCAAACTGTTTGTATTTGGGTCTATTTACTCAGCTTGAATGACGAATGTCATAAGGTAGAATGCGCAAAGCCGAAAGCCGAATGCAGCAAGCATAATACAACGCGACATCTGGTGTAATAATATGTGACACCCAAATTATGCTAACAGGTGGCGCTACAGTTATATTCTCGGTAAAGTCCGTATTGCGGTTCGGATTCAGTTTACCAAGTTACGTCCCTTTGTTTTAAAATTTCCATTTGCACTCATGAAGAAATTATACAAAACGATTTAACCAATATTTATATTTATTAATGAAACTCTGTAGGTCAAATTATATTTCCAATTTCTGACAATGAGAAGTTGCACATTTCCAAATCAATGGTTTTAGAATTTTTTTTTTTTTCATCAACAAAATAATTATAGAATAGAACAGTTGTTCAACATTGTTCAAAGTGCTTGGGCCATAAAGAACTTCTGATTAAAATATTTCATCCTCTTGATGGCTTATTTCCAATACCTGTGACCATCCACAACATTTTAATGCGTTTTTATTAATTAGGACATTTTCTTGCCTATTTTCAAACAAATTTTGTACACACGTTAGATTTTTAAAATTCAACTTGTCAAAAAAATGTCTTTTTTTTCACTAAGTTGAAATTATTCACTAAGATGCTTTATGAATACGGCCCAGGTTCCTGTTCACAGTGTCAGCTTAAAACTGAAGGAACTGCTGCCAAAATCAGCTGATTCTGAGAAAAAAAATAAAATGTCAAAACTGTCTAGTCTGTCAGACATAAGACATTTTTGCCTTTTTTTTCTTTTGCAGCGGCACGGGCTACCTCTTCTTCATTTGAATTTTTATATCACAGGTACCCTCTCATTTTTTAACACATACGTACCCACAATGCACGACATATGCTTTTATTTGCGTTAATCGTTAAGTATGTAATATTTACATAAAAGTAAGAAATATTACATACCTATTTATAACGATTAACGCAAATAAAAGCATATGTTGTGCCATAAGGGTACGCTGCAAAACCGAAAGTAGGGTGTTTTTATGAATTTTACATTTATTTTTGACAATTAACTGCAATTTGTCCGAAGATGATATGTATATGAACATATTAAATATGTATGATGCATATATAATCAAGCCCACGGTTCATTGCAGCCCGAAAAGTATGTCGAGGTGATGGGCGAGGCAAGACATATCGATTTTTTGTAGCTTATTGTGAAGTTGCAGTACATGAAAAACGGGCACATGACAAATCAGCACATAAATAAAACATTCTAGTGTTCCGTGGTATATATCTTTTGTACTTGTCAAACCTCCTTTCCTTATTACATTGAAATTTTACTGGATTGTTATCCATCGCTGGTTTGTTTTTAGCAGAGAATGACAATGGCTGAAGATGCCTTTTTAGTAGTTTTCTTTAATTATAACGTTCATGATATTGGAAATGTATAGCAGATCTTACTCATTTAAGACAAAAAAGTTTTATACCTTAAGGCAATAGTATTTTCAATACAAACACCACTGAGAATGTAGAAAAAATGTTTATTAATACCTTCTATGACAAACAATTCATTTGATTTTATTACCATTTTTTGGACATTTTTGTACATTTTGTTTTAATGTACTCATCAATTAAATTATGAAATAATTCGTCCTAAAGCTAAACTCTCACAGATTGACAGACTAGACAGTTTTGCCTTTTTTTCTCAGAATCAGCTGATTTTAGTTTAAACATAGTTTATTTCGAACAAATTCACAATATATATACAGACAATAATGTACACAATAGAAACTGTGAACAAGAACCTGGGCCGTATTCATAAAGCATCTTAGTGAATAATTTCAACTTAGGGAAAAAAGACATTTTTTTGACAAGTTGAATTTAAAAAATTTAACGTGTGTACAAAATTTGTTTGAAAATAGGCAAGAAAATGTCCTAATTAATATTAAACATTAAAAATGTTGTGGATGGTCCACAGGTATTGGAAATAAGCCATGTCCCCAAAATTTAAGAACTTTTCAAGGAGGATGAAATATTTTAATAAGAAGTTTTTTTTTATGGCCAAGCACTTTGAACAATGTTACAACAACTGTTCTATTTCATATTATTTTTGTTGATGAAAAAAAAAATAATTCTAAAACCATTGGGATTTTTGGAAAGTGCAACTTGTCATTGTCAAGCTGGAAATATTTTAATTTGACCTACAGAGTTTCATTAATAAAATATAAAAATTGGTTAAATCGTTTTGTATATTTTCTCCATGAGTGCAAAATGGAATTTTAAAACAAAAGGACGTAACTTGGTAAACTGAATCCGAACCCAATACGGAACTTTACCGAGAATATAACTGGTAGCGCCACCCTGTTAGCATAATTTGGGTGTCACATATTATTACACCCAGATTGGTCCGGCGTTGTATTATGCTTTGCTGCATTTCGGCTTTCGGGTGCTATGCGCATTTTCTTACCCTTTATTGACATTCGTCATTCAAGCTGAGTAAATAGACCTAATTACAAAACAGTTTGAGGTTAAAATTTATTAAATAATATACCAGATCAACAAATGAATAAAAATGATCGTTAAATAACCGCGACATCAACATTAAAATTAAGCAAGTCGGCACTCAGCGGAAAGGCATAATTTGCATGTAAGAAAGCAACATGTTAAAAGTCTCAGAATGCAAGATGTATATGTCAGAATGCATAATGTACAAGTTAGAAAGCACGATGTACAAGTTAGAAAGCACGATGTAACATAAGAAAGCAAGATGTAATTTTGGCATAAATCACCCTCCATACAAATGATTGCGTCATACAGTCATGTAGGTTTCTAGAGATCTAAGCAGTGGGGATTATAAAATAATTAAATAATAATTAAATTTCTTTTCAGTTTTATATTATTACATTGGAAAATATATGTTATGCATGCTTAAGCATTACAACAGAAAAGCATGTATGAAAAACGAAATCGCATCATCGGCAATTACAAATAGTAAGGAAAACAGTAGAAGATAATTAAATATTTCATTTATATTAGTACATGTAACTGTCAAACTATTACCTCGCCTTTTTTTTTACCTCAATATGTCAAAAAAAATCCTAAAGCCATGAAAAAGTTTTATTTTCTTATAAACGATGATAATGCATGGTAGAATTTGACTATGTACAGCCTATCTGGTCGTCAAGGATAACAAAATCAACAACAGTAATACATTTCAAGTAAATTTTAGACTTACCTTGATTTAAAGCCAATGCTGGGGCATATAAAACTACACCCATATACAATAACTGGAATAAATGAAACGACAAAGTGTATGAAATTAAAACTTTTTAAGTCAAATATAAATGTATTGGAAGCACGGTCGGTGTATGTAAATATGGATGTTAAAGAATACTTGTTGGCTGTTATTGACGGTATAGCATCCAACCAGTATATTTATTAGACTTGATGTTACTATAGATAAAAATGTTGCGATATTTTTGAGAAATAAATATTTCATTTTCCCAAGGTTAATTGTAAATTATATCAATGAACTATATATACTGTTGTTTTTTGTTTTATTTTGTTTTGTTTTTTTTAAAGTGGCTTTCAGCTTTAATTTTTTGTTGGAAAAACAATTCTGTGTTGTTTCAAACATAGTATCTTAGTAATTTTATCTTGGAAAAGTGCGTCATATTACTGTTAGGCCTTCTTTAAAACAGCGTCCCAAGAGTAATTTATAGGGTGCCAGTGACGTTCGATTCTAAAAATAGATGATCGGGAATTACTAATTTACATTACAGAGAGCGGGTCGGTAGAATAGATATATCGAGGGATTTCCATATTGTTCATGTGTTTTATCGACGGCAAATTTCAGTTTCCTTCTTAATTATTTTGATTTGATAATTATTTGAAGCGATTTTTTCTAAATCAATATTTTTCCCTTTTAGAAAAGCTAAGCCGTTTAATAAAATAAGTAAAAGAAATTTACCTTTGTTTAGAAAAAAAATTTAAAAGAAGCACGATCGTGTCGCTCTGTTGAATCTCCTTCCCAAAGGACTAAAAAAAAAGACATTTTTTAAAACTTTATATTAAACACTAACTTGTTTGTAAAACTCAGATTTTTTTTTAGGGAAGGGAAAAAAAACCCACTTATTTTTAGATTTCCCTTGTGACAACTCAAACTAGAAAATAAAGAAAAAAAGAACACAAAATTAAATTCATTAATTCGGTGTTTGTGTCATTTTAGCTTTAATTTAAAGTTTCAGCCCTGTTTTAAAACCCGGAATTTTCCCTTTTACTTGGGTTTGAAATAGCCCCTAATTATCGTTCTTTGTGTTAGGTTGACATAATTTTAGATATTTGAATAAGCTGCAATCAGGTTGGTCAGTATTCAGAATGTTTGTACTCAGCAAGGTAACAAAAGGCCATTTTGTCCTTCAGTGCCAACACTTTTACACAGAATGCGCCCTGGCTGTCTTCTTCCAGTAGCAAACGCTCGAAAATCGTGAAAAGACCTTAAACATCATCGATGTAGACAAAATCAAAACAGGAAGAAAGTTATGTAATAAAAGAAAGAATAATTATTAGGAAATATTCACCTCATAAGCGCTGGTAAGGCTAAGGTCGTGGAAAAACGGTAAGAAAACGTGGTTTGTTGTTATCACAGTTGGAATCATTGCCAATCCGGCAATCCAATAACTCGTGTTGTTATTGTACATTTCCGTCGGAGTACCTAGCACTGTAATAGCCGACATGAAACTTGCCATTAAACTCATTGCTATAGGGAATATACCAATGTCTCGTCCTCCCATCAAAACATCGTCTGCTGTAGCTCTTTTTGAACTCAGATACTCCTTTACAACGTAAAATACTCCGATACCGGCGGAAATAACTAAAACGGCTCCAAACAGTACGTAGTCAACCGCAGAAAAAGTACCGATGGGGTCCCCAGGACATAGCTCACACACGGCTTTACAACTCCGAAGGTCCGCTTCATCCAATTCCATTTTTGTCTTAAATTGTTCCAGATCGATTAGATAAACTTTTTTAAATTATTTTTTATCTTTAATAATTCCTCCTTGCTTTCATTTTTTGCTAAATTGTTTTCCTTTGGGAAATGATTTAAGCCTATATCATTTCCTTATTGAAAGTTACACAGTTGCTTGATGTTGTCTCTCCTAACCAGTACAATATCCAAATGAAATCACTTCATCATATCTAAATCATTAATAACGAAGGTTCTGACAATCAAAATTGGCTTATTTCAATTGTTTTTATCTATTTTTTATCAATAACAATAGACTTTAATCACGGGTAATTTCTTTAATTGAATTCGAACGGATGAAATATTTCCATAAATCTATTCCATGTATAAATAAAGAAAATGTAATATTATGTCCGAAAATGGCAGATGGCTATTTTTATGAAAGTTTTATCTCGGCATACCACGGTCGTCAAGCTAAGATAACGTCGAGGGCTGACCACTCTGTTAACACAAATGAATTTATCACAATGTGCCACATGTTCTGTAATTCCCATTAATCAAATTACAGAGTTTATTTGATGATGCTACCACAGAGTTCAAATATATTTTACAATTTATGCTTGAATATTTGTATATGAATCAGTTATTTAATCAATATGAACAAATGCTTTTCTAAATTATGTTAATCGTATCTCAAGTCAATTTGTAATGTAACACAACTTAAAGAAAAAGCTTTGGCGACATGTGTAGATTAGATATCAGCGATTGTAAAAACGTTATGTTTTTGGTGTATTCATGTTTGTAAAAGACGTGGCTTGGTAGTTGTGTTTGTTCAATGTTTTTGGTGTATTTTTGTTTGTAAAAGACGTGGTTTGATAGTGGTGTTTGTTCAATTTTGGTTTTTGGTTTTCGTTTTTCATTTCGGTGTTTTAAGTTTTAAAAATAATGCCAATATTTAACCATGTCATGGTGTAAACAAGGGAGTTTACTTGCTGAAATTTTATTTGTGTTTTTTTCCCATTAATGCTTTTCTTTGTTAAATATTTGAAAATAATGCTTCATTACTGCGGCACTGGTCGTCATACAGTAGTGGAATGTCTTTCTAACTTTTCAATGTAAGTGCGTAGTTTAACAATCAAATTATTTCGATGTTTTTCAACTTCTTATTATTACCTTTTTACCCACTGGATTTTTAAAATGCATTTGCCTAGCTTTGCTTTTGGAACAATCATTTTAAGTTGCAGAGATGTCATTGTTTAATGTAAAAAGGGCTACGTATGGATTACTAGTACAATGTTTTGTAACATATATAGTTGCAAAATAAGACTTTCTGAAAAATAAAATGCAATTAAATATATAGTTAATTCTCAAAATAAGTTACTAAACATAATTTGCAGAAATATATGTATTTCAATTATATTTCTACAGTGAGTTTATTTGTTGAATTGTGTTTGATTTTTAAATGCGTTGAAGAATGAATACTTTAAAAAATAAAGTTGGAAACAGATTGAGCTGTTTATAATTTCCAAATCAAATTTGCATAAAAATGTGAGATTATTTATATCCAAAGACAAAAATGAGACTTTTTTAATATCTGTTAAATGTAAATTTTACATTTAGAAAATATGTTTCCGTTGCTTAAGTGTATGTCAATTATTAGGAACTGTTATTATTTTCATTTGTTTTTCTTTTCTTTTTTATAATGTCTTTAGCTTCGACATAAATTTTCCACCGAAGCAATTTTATAAAATATAACTGATACTTTACCAATATTTTCCTTGGTTTGAATAGGAATATTAATTTATATTTTTACGGGTTTTGCCAGCATTTCTGTTTTTAACTGCCCTCGAATTTTTAATTTCTTTTAACGGTAAAGTTATCTTCTGGTCCCTACTTCAGCTCAATGAAATTAACAGGATTATCTCTTAACGCCTAAGTAGCCAGTAAACAAAGTTATCTGCCGCTGATAAAGTGAAATAAGGTGTTTGTCCACCATTAGTTAGTCTTAAACTATGTATAAAAATGTCATCTACACACTTTGAATACTTAGTAACAAGTACATGTACCACTGCCAAGCCTTAAATAAAATAAAAAAAAACACAACAACAATAGTGTCCATTGAAAAGGGCAAAAACCTCACTGTTCGCCACAAAATTATTTTTTTTACTTGTTTTAGCATTACTGAATTCGATATAAGCAAACTATTACTCAAAAAGATTAAATGAAATCGATGTTAAGCGAAATATCTAAAGCTTTTTAAATGAACTAAACTCGATGGAACCAATATATTCAGTCTGTTATAGTAGGAACTAAACTCGATGCACACAATGAATCAAATTTATTATAAAAGGAACAAAACTCGATGGAGCCAATATATTAAATAAATAGTTTAAATAAGGAACCGAACTCGATGGAACCAGTTCATTTAATATTTTAGAAAAGGCTCTGAACTCGATGGTAACAATATGCTAATTGAGTTATAAAAGTAAGTATACTCGGTGGAACCAGTATATTAAATGTCTTATAAAAAGAACTAAACCCGATGGAACCAATTTACTAAATGTGTTATTTATAAAAGGAACTGTACTCGATGGAACCAATTCATTATATGTTTTATAAAAAAGAACTATACTCGATGGAACCAATATGCTAAATGTGTTATAAAAGGAACTAAACTCTCTTTTGAAACCCCATCTGGGTAACCCCGTCACAACGGAATGGAAGAACCATGATCCCGTTTATTAACTTCTTCATCTCAAATGTTTAATTAATATTTAACTTAATCGTCAACTTTAAAGCTGCATGCCTCCAGATGAGCAAAAACTTTTCAAGAAAATCAATATTCAGAAAAATGTACTTATTATTAATAAATTTTAAGAAAGCTAAAAACATTCAAGATCCAAGTAATATGTTTCATGTTATGTGCTGTTTTAGACTGATTTTGCAGTATTTAATTACCATATTTCTACTGCGTGACTAACGCAGTAAGGGCTATTTTTGCTTATGTTGACGAGTGTTTGGTAGTTTTCTTGGATTGTAAGTGCCGATTGCAATATGTAAATTACTTTATTTGTTCACCTCACAATATTTAAATTTTAAATACATTTCCAAAATTTTTACGAAAATTAGCATGAATCTGGAGGCGTGCTGCTTTAAGACGTTAATCACTCTATATTAAACCGCTACCTTAATGTAATGTTAGGTTATCGTCTGGCAGATAACCTTTCATATGACAAATGACTTCCATTGTAGTTAAACAACTACAAGAAAAAAATTATCAGATAGAAAAGTGTACTGTAATACACACTGATAACGCAATATAAAGTCATAAATTGGAATTTGTCTATAAAAAGAATAAAGAGGGAATTAAATACTATTAGTCACTCGAGCTCGTTAGAATATTGAAACATCTTTATACTTTCTTTAGTCTTCAAAATTGACACACTTTTTGCAGGTTTTTAGCAATTACGGATCGATTGAAACGATGAGAAAACGAAAACATTGGTTGATTGTACTACCTAAATCATGCCATGTGTGCTGTTCACTGTGTAAAAATACGTCCTCTTAGCTCAATAGGGCACAAGTATCGGATATGTGTTTCAGGGGTGTCACTGGTTCGATACTCTGGCGAGGCTAAATTTTCTCCATGATGTCGAACATTGAGTATAAGAGTCACTTTTCCCTCAACGCTAATATTCAGAAATCATGCGGGTTTAGTAGTCAGTCCCTTGCGGAGAAATTGGTAATTAGTAGTTAGTTATGCCGGAATGCCGGTTAGACGACGAGATGTATGACCCAAAATAAGCTAAAGTCGATGAAAGCTAACAAACCACAACAACAAAAAACAACACATGAAATGTAGATTTGTGACGAATGGGTTAAAAGACGGACGGAGGTACGTCCGCTGTTCCCATAATTGTCTAATTTGGGGAGAGACTATATATGAATCATTAGGGCCTTATGTATCTTTATTAAGTAAGTTGAAGTTATTGTAAGATCTTACTTCAAAGGGCAATGTTACTTTAATCATATTAACAAGGTAAAGCTAATTATGCATCTAATATTGTATCCGTTTATATACTTATACGCATTAATATTGAAATAAATTGGTCTATAATGGAAGGTATGTAATAACATAAATAATCATGTAGATGTTAATTAGTATCATGAGTAGCGACAAAGCACGAAAGAATTATAATTGAGCCGTGTCACGACAAAACCAACATAATGGTTTTGCGACCAGCATGGATCAAGACCAGCCTGCGCATCAGCGCAGTCTGATCAGGATCCATGCTGTTCGCTTATCAACCCTATTACAAGTGGAGAAACTGACAGCGAACAGCATGGATCCTGATCAGACTGCGCGGATGCGCAGGCTGGTCTGGATCCATGCTGGTCGCAAACCCACTATGTTGATTTTGTCGTGACGCGGCTCAATTATGGATTTTGTTGGTAAGTGCTGGGTACATGAGTCAATATGACATATCAACATATATAAGCAGAAAATAAACTGTTATTGAACAAAATATTATTATATATTCGTACTAAATCACTTAAAAGGTCTATCAATAATTTAATTTCCATAAATATTTCATGGGAATATCCGAACCATACATTCTGTTGATTTTCTATCAATATTTGAAGCACTTAAATGGTAAATATGCCCACTGTTAACCAATCCGCTTTAAACAGTAAATTTGATACATTATACATGTATACATAAGCTGCCTCGGCTTGATTGATATGAGTTTCATATTTATTTAATTAATATATTTGATTTAATGTTTTAAAGATCCTGTATGTTGTAATTAAGGACGTAACAACACTTAAGTGAAATTTATATATGTTTATAATCATTCTTCTGAAACAATTTCCAAAACATCCAAGACTATGTTAAATATGCACTGCAAATGTGTATACGTATTTTAAGTAATCATTAAAATATATGCAGTCATTTTTGATTGAAAAAATTGGCTTACGCTTTATCGAATATAAAGTTCTAATTATCTCCCCTTATTTTCATGAAATTTAAATTCGGTAATATCTTTACAAATAATGCTTTTTGGAACTTACAATATCGATAAATCTTCATTTGAGCATAATATTTATGATATAAAATTATAAAAAAATGAGTTACATGATCTTTAAGGGTGTAATGATAGTGAACTCAAGTATTTTTTGGAATCACGTGATCAAAGGGATCAAAGTGTTTATTTAATTTATATAATCTTTTGGTGAACCCTTACGATCCCTGATACATATTATATATTTGGATTATTTAAGTTATAATTTCTGAAATGAAACTGATTCGAACACAACACAAGTTCAACGACCTTCAATCATACATGCCCATTTTCATAAGTTTTCTTTTATAACCAAATCTAATAAAATTATACAAAGTCATTTTGAATAGTTCATTTCAAAATTTAATATAAATATTTTTTTAAACAAATACATGCCTCAAACAGTTTCAAACAGCAACAAAAACTCATTTTTATCAATGCAAGTACGCACAAAGAAACACATCTATACACTAACATAACTGTTTTAACCCTTAACCTGCCGGAAGTGTAAATGATTTGCCTTTGCCACCAGTATAGAATCAGGCGGATCTGCACATCGTGCAATCAAACTAGGCTCTATACTGTTGGTAGCCCAATTTTGGTATCTTAAAGGGGCTCCACTAAGATCAAAAAAACTAAAAACTTAAAATTTAAATTTTTAACATCTATCAAGTGAAGCACTTATAATGTAAACCTCTGCGGAGGAAAGTAAAGAAATATACTCAGAATTAAACAGAAAGTCGATAGTTATTGCAAATCTTTGAGAGAAAAGCGATTTGAATAAAAAAAATTACAACGCCTTTTTCATTTTTTTAGGGGCATTGTGTATTTTGAAAATGAATCCAATGGAAAAATGCTGTGAGAGAATGACCTTATATTTTGTGCACAAGCAAATGGTTATGGCTTACATTGAAATGGTTAAAAAATCTTGAAAACATTTTCCAGTCCCGTCATGTAAAAAAACCCAGTGGAGTCCCTTTAATATTAAAATCAGACTACAAGTTCCTCCTTGTCCCGTCTGACCATACTATTTACTGTTGGCGGCGAATTTTTTGTACCTTGACATTAAAACCTATTAAACTTTTAATGAACTATTCTCAACTGAAAGTAGGGCAAATCCATTACATTAACTCAACAGGTTAAGGGTTAAAAGTGATTAACATATTGAATGAAATGCAGACTTGCTGATGCCATCTTTTTGTCACATTTTTTCATGAACAAAGTTGTAAAACAAACATGATCATACATAGCTTTAGTCTTTGCAAATTTATCATTATCTTATCTTGTTCTATGAATGTTTCCCGCTAGTCGACACAAGTCTTTATGTCCTCTATTCTATAAGAAACATATTTCACTTCATCATCAAAGTTCTGATTCATTCAGGCTAGCTTCAAATCCATCAGGACTGTCTGTATAGCGAGGTAGCAGTTTTACCTTGTCCTTTGCTGCCTTTTTATGATGTTTAACTTTCACTTTTTTAACAATGTCACTAGTGTCGCTATCATCTTCGTCGGAAAAGAAAGTGTCTACTTTTCGTACATTCTGAAATATAATAGAAATGCGCTGGAAAAGTTGTACCCTTTTATTGGAAAAGAAAGTATTGATCCTTTTTGAAATATTAAAGAAAAGCACTGAAAAAGAAGTAAATCGATACATTTTATTTTCCTTGGAAAAGACAGTTTAAATCCTTTTTGAAATATAATAGGAATGCACCGGGAAAGTTGTACCTTTTCTCCGGAAAAGAAAGTATGAATGCTTTTGGAATTATTTAATTTTTATTGGAAAATGAAGTAAAAATCCTTTCTGAAATATAATATAAATGCGATGGAAAAAGTTGTAACTTGAAACACTTAATTCTGATCGGAAAAGAAAGCCTCGGCCTTCTGAAATATTAAAGTAATGCCCTGAAAAGTAGTAAACAGAAACATCTTTTATTTATTGGAAAAGTTAGTAAAGATCCATTCTGAAATATAATATAATTATATGCGTAGGAAAAGTAGAAACTTGAAACACTTTAACTTTATCGGAAAAGAAAGCATGGATCTTTTTTGAGATACTAAGAAAAGCACTGGAAAATTGAAACATTCTATTTCTATCGGGAGTGAAAGTACGGACTCTCCTGTACGCTTTAATATAGTAGATTGTTTTAATAGCAGTTTATATAGACGTACATGTATTTCTTTCAGGTGGTCTTTTAGCTGATATCTTAAATTGTTATCTTTATAATGAACATTTCCAAAAATGAAAGCTTGCGAGTACATTTAAGAAATTCGGAAGGTTAATGGTTAAAGTGACTTACGTATGTCCACCAGGAACTACAGTTAAGGCGTTTTTGTATAGACCATGGTATACAACATAGTAGGTTCTGAGACACCGGGTATATGTATTGTGGGTTCAATGACTTGTCCGTCCAACCTGTTGTGTTATGATAATATATTCATTATTGTTATGATAATATGTTCAATACTGTAAGTTAAATATATTCATTATTGTTATGATAATATGTTCAATACTGTAATTATAATATATTCATTATTGTTATGATAATATGTTCAATACTGTAATTATAATATATTCATTATTGTTATGATAATATTTTCATTAAGGTTATGATAATATATTTATTACTGTTTTGATAATATATTCATTATTGTTTGGTTTATACAGAATTTATTTTAGTTCGATTGTAAAGGAAGCTACAAGCTTATAGACATACTTTCGAATCCAATCCTGGAACCAACCTGTACTGAGCAATGAGTGTAAAGTTTCTTGCTCAAGGAAACAACGCCTGACCCTCATTATTCATTATTGTTATGATAATATAGTCATTATGGTACTAATCTTTAACATAACCAATGTATTTAACACAATTTGTAAAATCTTTGTAATCAAAGCAACATTACGAGTGTGTGGCTTCATCTCAGAGCAAAAATAACACTAAGAGTTATATTTAACTCATTAGATATATAACAAATGATGTAAAAATAGAAGAAATCTTTCTATAGAATCTATTCCATATTACATAGATAAAATATGGAATATTGCGATGCTTCATTAAATATTATTTTGTTAAGAATGTTAACTAAAATACGGGTTACCTGTGCACCAGCTTACAAATATACCAACGACAAGAGCGATACCAACGGCTAGTGTAGGATACCATAAAAATGATAACGTAAATATAACCATCAGTCCATTCCTAATTAAAGAAAAGTGGGGAAACAATGACTAATTATGCTTTTATGTATACAAATATATAACTAAAATGTTTCAAAAGACGAGATCTAAACGTCTTAAAAAAGGGAAAGAAAGAAATTTCTGTGGCTGATTTGTGCCATGTCGCATTTTCGCTCCGCTTGGCGCAAGGCGAAAACAGGAAAATATCACCACTTTGGCGTTCTTTCGCTCCGCGGGGCGTAAGGCGAAAATACGACAAAGTCACAAATTTGGCGTTCTTTCCCTCCGAGTATTTCCTGTTTTCGTCTTGCGTCACGTGTAGCGAAAATACTTCAAGAGACAAATCAGCCACCATAATAATTGTTTTGGTTGAAAGATAGATGCTATTACGTATAGAGGATAAATAACTCGTCAAATCAAAAATGTAACGTCGATAGATAATTAAAAATTTGAATTTTGAATCAAGTTTAGTTAAAATACCATTCGTCATCACTTTGCTGTGAGATGATGTTATCGTTTGGCATCGCATACTGTGGATTCACCAGGTCAAGGTCATTTTCTACATAATGTCCCAGGATGCTTGTTGTGTGATCTACACACCCGGATGTTACAAACGGAAGTTCCGGTTGAGGCGCTTGATAAACGTAAGCGCCTATAACGATCCAGAATATTACAACTGTACTCACAATAAGACCGCTGATGGCGCCCTGGCGATGCAAAAAAAAAACAACTTATCTACATTTATAATTAAAGCCAATTTCTTATCTCATTATTATTGTTCTTTGAATTAATCTCAGATCTGTTTATGTCAAAGGAAATGAAAGTGTTTTCTGTAAAGACTCTTTGAATTATACAAGAAAAACACAAATTCGGATGAATAAAAATGACAGTAAGTATAACCACAAATCATAGATAAACAGAATTTTGCTAATAATTCCATATTTCAGATTAACTTGTCACTTGAAAGATTGACAACGAACGAACAATAAAACGAACCTTATGTAAGAATTCATTTTATTTTTACTGGACAGAAAAAAGTAACATCCGTGAAGGATACTATTTCAAATCATGGGATATAATAATATATAAAATCATAACTAGGTTGTATATGAAAAGTATAACAAACCTTTGCGTTGACACATGGCAGAAACATGCCCATTAAAAACAAGCCAAGAAGAGGCCCCCCTGCCATTCCAAGAACACTTATCATAATCTGTATAAATTAATGTCAGAATAAATACAAACGTTTCCTTTAAAGTTATCAGAAACCTCTAATTATTCGTTACCATATTTTATAATGTATAATATACAAATAATGAAAATATATTAATAACGATTGCAATGACAAAATAAACATGCAATGAATGATATGTTATGCTCAAATTTAATATAAGAAAATATTGATAATTGCTACACAGTCATTTTGTAAATATAAAATAAAAATGTTTTGACAGAAAGTAGATACGTTATACAGGTGTTCATAATATAGAATATATAGTGTAATTTAAAAAAAACCTGGCAGTTGTTTAAAAAAAGGACAACATTTACTTGACCTGTAATAGGGAATGCAATTTCCTATACATAGTTTATTCATTCTTTTATTCGAACAAGACTTATTCAGTAAAAATTCATAAATTTCAATTCATTTCTGTGATTAAAACATTTTACTAAAGGATGAGCATAGTATATATTTAATATCATACCAGAATACCGCTAAAACTGGCTATAAAAAGTCCGTTTGAAAACTTGTCCTCACATATAATAAAGCTTGTATGATCAAATGTCAACAACAATTAACTGATGGTCAAAGTATGAATGCAGTATATACCTGAAGAACTGTTGTTCCCAAGGCAGCAGCTAAGAATGCAAAAAGAATCACAAGAGCACCGCCAATCACACCTTAAATAATAATATAAAAAGATAAAGGAAAAAGTAAGCTATTCTTTCAAGCCGGTGCTGGGGGCATGACATGTATTGCATTTTCCATAATTTTTCATAATCATAGTAAATTAAGCTGAAACTGCAATTCTTACATCTCTAGTTATTTTTTTCATTGCTCCGAGAATGTCCCCTTTTTCAAAGAACTTTTATATTCATAACAGCAGGAGAAAATTGTTTTGGAAGCAGCTTTAAAAGATTGTTCCGTACTTTGGTCATACATTTTCCTGTTCTTTTCGGCGTCTTTGCTTTGGAAATTCGTTGGTTAAAGATTGAATATGGATCGTTTCGGTGCTAGGATGTATGAGAGGTGCTAGGATGTGTGAGGAGTGCTAGGGTATGTGTGAGAAGTGCTACGGTTTGTGTGAGAAGTGCTAGGGTATGTTACAAATGCTAGGATGAGTGAGAGGTGCTAGGGTGTGTGAGAGGTGCTTGGATGTGTGAGGAGTGCTAGGGTATGTGGGAGGTCTTGCATATTCTCCTGTCTCTCATGACCGGAATCAAACAATCAGTTAAGCCTGCGTATTTCACCTGTTCATTTGTTCCACATGTTTTAGAATTTTCTAAATGATGCAAACCATTTCTTTTCTTACGCGCAGTAATATTAAAACAAGTATTTACATGTAATTCTTTCCGACAAACCTTGTGGTAAAAACTACTCAAACCTATGTTTCAATATCTTACTTTTCCATTAAACATTTATAATGAGCCAGTGAACATTTTGTATAATGGCCTCACCTAGAACTTTAGCTAAGCAGGTCTCAAATTCAGGTCTTAGTTGAACATTCCATGTATCTAAGCATGGCTTTATCATATCCTCCAGGACTGTTATAGAAAGTGCGTTCAAACAGGAAGATATGGAACTGAAAATAAGATTATATATATTGGTATATATTAGTATTTATATACCGGTATAATTTGATGAAATAACAACAACAACCAAAAACAAAACAAAAACAAACAAAAATAAAACAAAGAACACTCTCTTATAACTTAAATTCTTATTTCTTATATTGTTTTGTTGAATAAACATTATCTCTAAGTTTTCTAGCATCAAAACTGATGTTTGTTCTGTTGTCAATATAAAATAAAATTCTTCACAACGCAGTGTCTGGAAATTAAAATGAATAAAATAAATAAAAATAGATAAATAAATGAATAAAATAAATAAATAAATCATTAAAATAGTAAATGAATAAAATAAATAGAAAAATAAATAAAATAAAAAGATAAATTAGATAATAAAAATAAATAAATAAAAACCCCCCCCCCCCCCAAAAAAAAAAAAAAAAAAAATGAGGAAAAACAAAGAAAAAACACACACACACAAAAATGTAGAATTTAGAATAAACAGCATATAATTAATTAAGATCTTACAAGAACTATACTACAAACCTTAGAGCAGCACTGAATATGCAAGCCACAAATAGTCCGGGTACACCCGGTATGTCTCCGAGAGTTTCCATCACATAGTACGGTAATAGCTGAAATTATCATTTATAATTGTTTCAATTTGTTTATAACTGTAACCATGATCATTTACAATACAAAAACATCGAACAGTTAATGATAATTATATATTTCACACCGTAAGAAAAATAGTTCTTAAATCATCCTGTAAGGGGAGATCACTGAGTAGAGGATCGTCTTTGTATAGCACAGGTTGTCCACCATTAAAATGTAAAACTAAATCTGATTGGTCAATAGTACTCCTCTTTAGTATTATTCAATAAAAACTTCTCCATAGAAATTTATTATAACACGTATATTGCTACCCAAAGCGTAAACTTTAATTGTGAGATGATACACTTGTTTTCGAAATTGACTGATAAAAGGTATTTAATGCCTCAAAAATGATTTTTCAAATTTTAGAAAGAGCATGAGTTTTATCATATTTTAATAATGGTCTAGAACATGTTAGATGCTCTTCAACTGAAGAAAGAAGCCGCGAATATTAAATTATGTGTCATTAATTAAGCAAAATGTAAAAGTAGTATTTTGATTTCCATACAAAATACTGAATCACTATGTACAAATAGTCAATAAGCAATAGAAGCAAAAAAACGGTAAACTTCTTTGGCACTATATCAGGACACCAAAAATAAAAAAAAAATGTGAAATGAAAATAAAAGCATTTCTGTGACATAATGGACCTTTAATAATATATACAAAGTAAATTGTTTTAAAATCTTAATTCTATAATCTACTAAGTTTAACCAAAAGAAACAATGTTAATGGACAATGCACAATTTGTTTAAACAATATCAGGATAATGTTGAATTTAATAAAATATATCCATAAAGATATCAACCATAATAATAAATATTTAATATTTACTATCTATAGCTATGGAATGTATATAAAACATTCATTACAAGTTTGACACATTATTTCTAAGATACAAATATTGACCTGATCTCTGGCCAGTAGTTTGCCGTCCAGGAACGGATCACAATCGTGATAGGCTGCGTAGATAACCAGTCCAGCAATACACACCAAAGATACCAGTCCAATTGTTACCGGAAGTGACACATACAACGCTCTGAAGGAAGCAAAAACTAAACGTTTCAAACTTTGATTTTGAAATATACCTCAAAGCCTCGTCTCTAGGAGATAAATCTAACCAAAAGAACTTAAAATGTAGCTGCTCATATCCCATGCGACATTTTGCATGTTTGATGTTAACCATGACTTAATACATTATGTAATCAACTTATCACCACAATATTTACGAAGCATAGGCCATTTTTAACATTCTACTTCATACCGCCAGCGTCTGTTAATTATGAATCAGGCAAATGGAAATTGTCCGATATAATAAAGGCAAAATTGGTTTATTTGCACTTAAGTTAATATAACCAATCGAGTTTTCTACAATATATAACTTCATTAGGCCATTTGTTAAATTCTTTTCCAAAATAGAGTAAAGCAACAACATCTCGTGTGTTTTTGTATATTATACAAACTGAGTTTATTGTAAATAAATTGAAATTGTAGTGCTATTTATGTTCGGATGTCCGGATAAAGTAACATTGAGCAACAGCGAATGAAATGACACCTTACTTACAGCTGAGACTTCTTCACGTTGCTGATACTCATGTATCTCTGTAACATCGTCTGATTGGCTCCGTAAATCGTCAACTGACCAATGAAACTGCCGATTGTCAATCCCCAGAATGTGCAGCGTACAAACGGACTGATACTAAAACTATAGAATAAAAAAGCAAGTGTTATCATACCATGTGTTACAGTCTAATGAAAATATGGAAAAAAGGAAATCCCTCGGAAACAGCAGAAAAACAAAACAACAACAACAACAAGAACAGCAACAAAAAAAAAACAAAAAAAAGCATAAAAATCGAAGATTGGGTTTGACTGAGTCTGTTCATGACATATGGTGTAAAAGTGCAACATTTTCTCGCCCCGAACACTAGCTTAAGAAATATTCAATTTTCAACACTAAATCTGCTGGAATTAATGACCCCCACCCCTAAGGACCAGGATAATATAACAACACTGAAGGGAAGTATGGGGAGAGCCATGTAACTGTTGTTCTTTGGTTCTGCAAATGTCATGTATCACATAATTGTCTATTGTAAGCAATGTCAAATATTGCGTTCATTGTGATTTATAAAGTACCATTATAAATTTTTTGTTTATTATGTGTATTAGCTCACTGTATGATGTTTACTATAAGTTCTTATCCAGTGAATATTTTACGAAAGTTAAAAAAGAAACACCAAAACCAATCCGGGCTTAGTAAACTACGGATGTAATAAATGCAAAGTGAAGGTCACTGTACATGTTTTTGTCCTTCACTGTTCGATGTTTCAGACCATATTTTGATTTTTATCAACACAACTAAAACCAATTTAGTCACTATATTTATCTTATCATTAAACTTACTTCCAAAAGTTGATTCTACCACCAGCACTAGCTATATCCCAGACTTTCGTGATTCCTCCTAAGTGACTCGAACCAATGCTGATAATGCCTATAAGTCCAGCAATCACCACCAGCGTCTGGAATGTGTCTGTCCATAACACCGCCCTTAGCCCGCCCTGGTTGCATACGTAAGTATATGAGAGCACATAAATTTATTGATAAGGACAAGATTTCTGAGGTATAGTGTCATAACACCGTACAATCAAATGGGTAGACAACGGTTCAACGCATCGACAGTCGTACTAGTATATACATGTCGGTATAAAGGCATAATTTGCGGACGGTAAGTATTTATTATCTTTTTACATATTCCATTGTGTATTCCACAGTGTTCGAATAAATCAATGTCATGGATTCATAGACAATATCTAAATGAGCCTACTAACAAATTTCTGGCCCTGTGCAAGCATAATTTTACGTGAATTTTGATTGAAAATTTTGATGTGCATAAAACTTTGCAACAGAATGTTTTTGGTCTTCAGAAATTTGGCCCATTCAAGGTTCTTATTGTTATCATTTTTATTTTTGTTTAAAATAGTCTTTAAAACATAGAACTGGAATAGTACTTGCAAATGGCTCATCATATAACAATGTGAGCTTTGTTGTTATATGAATTTTGGCCTACTTTCACTTTGGACATACTTTGTGAAAACAAACATGGCTGACAATGCAGAATCACCTTAATCAACTTTACTTTGAGCGCAACAGTAATCTCTTTTTGAAACCTTACCACATTTGAAATATGTTTCAAATCTATTATTATTAATATGAAATTAGGTGCTACCTTTGGCGCGGAAAGCTCGCATGATTTATGATTGAAGCATAACATGTTCATTATTCATGTAACCAGATCTTACACTTCGTAAACATGTAAAGGCAGGAACAGAACGCCTCACAGTGATTTTTTTAAACTCCTTGCTATATTTTTTAATTGATTTTAATGCGGTTTCATTTTTTTTACGCAATATTGTTTTCATAGAGCGCTATATAGCCCTCGCGGGCTTGAGCTTATATTGTGTCCGAGATTTTTCCTTCGCTGTTTTGGGGCCACTGGCAAACTCTTCACTAACATGTAGACAGCTTGAATTTGCATACACGTATCGTGACATTAATAATAGTTATATCAGCGTTATTCATTCATGCTGATGAGTGGATGTCGATGTTATTATTAAATAGAGGTGAACAGTTCATGACTTTCCTCAAATTTTGAAGACTTTCCAAATCAATTCCTTATATCTTAAAAAGAAAAGCATTTTTGAAGGTATGGTTTGGAAAACGTAAGTATTTGTGATTTTTTTGTCAAAAATGCCGCATCTCATCGAAAAGTGTGTTTTTTTAAAGCTTGCACAGGACCAGAAATTTGTTAGCAGGCTCCTTTAGATGATGATTATGAATCCATAACATTGATTTACTCGAACACAGTTGGGATATGTTAAAAATGGATTAATACTTGCCACTTACTACCCGTAAAATAATGTTTTTATACATGTATAAACAAGTACGGCTGTCGACGCGTTGAACGGTTGTCTACCCATTTGATTGTACGATGTTGTCATATGACGGGTCTCTTTTGGGAATATTCCTGTCCAAAAACAATAGACAATGAGCCTCATTCCAAAGCCAGGTAAAGTTATTCAACTAAGTTGCAATATAAAGTCTATTAAAAACAATTTTAAACCAAATGCAATCTTTGGTGAATACAAGTACATGCATATGTTATGGTTAATTTTGTAACTTACCATTGACGTGTAAAATGTGACGACAATTCCCACACTGAGTATTGAGCCCCACAATGATAGTCCAGTTACTAAGGGAAAATACAATTTAATATTTTGCTGAATATATTAACATTTTCAGCACATTTATAGTGAAGTCAAACAATTGAACTCGTTGTACAGGTTATAACATAACGTTTAAAATACACACACATAGGTGTATTGTCTATAGTAATATGTAAACTTTCATAAAATGGCAGTCTTGTATAATTCTATGATAATACCGGTAATCCAAAATGTAGTTTTATCAAACTTAACATAGAAGTTGGTGCATTGTCGTCAAACACAGCTTACCTAGTCCCAAAATAAATCTGGAAAAAGGATCTTTGTGATCAATGATAACAATGATAGTAAAGAGATCAAAATTGCAGACTCGGTTTGACTGAGTCTGTTCATGAAGAAAAAATGGAAAGTGCAACATATCTCACGCTCTCTAACACCGCCTTAAATATCACGCTCTCTAACACCACGTTATATCTCACGCTCTCTAACACCACCTTACATCTCACGCTCTCTAACACCGCCTTATATCTCACGCTCTCTAACACCGCCTTAAATCTCACGCTATCTAACACCACGTTATATCTCACGCTCTCTAACACCACCTTATATCTCACGCTCTCCAACACCGCTTTATATCTCACGCTCTCTAACACTGCCTTATATCTCACGCTATGTAACACCGCCTTATATCTCACGTTCTCTAACACCGCCTTATATCTGACGCTCTGTTACACCGCCTTATCTCTCACGCCATGTAACACCGCCTTATATATCACGCTCTCTAACACCGCCTTATATCTCACGCTCTCTAACACCGCCTTATATCTCACGCTCTCTAACACCGCCTTATATCTCACGTTCCCAAGTACATGTTGAAGCGGTATTCATCCCCAACTCTTTAAGTATTAGAAAGAACCAGAAAAATATCAAATCATCGATATGAAGAATGTGGCTTCTACAAAGCACTTAACACATATTGTAGTGAGAAAAGGGGAAGATCACTCTAGTGCAATTAAAACGATAGTAAAAGAATGTAAAAAAATACAGATAAGCTCCCCCTTTAGTTCATTATGAAGTAAATTATTTATGCATTTTTTCAAACATTACATGAATATTGACTTTATTTAAATGGGCTGAGGAGTATCAAAGATCGCTGTTGTGAAATATGCCTCTTAAATAGATTGTATATATACTAAATACATGTACACCTTTTTTGATATACGAGTATCTCAACATGGTAAATAAAATAGTCTTACCTTGGTTTAGAGCAAGAGATGGGGCATATAAAACTACGGCCATGTACAAAACCTGTAAATAAATGGGTAACGTAACAATGTCACATACGTTTAAATTGTAACAGGAGAAAACATGTTAAAATCGTAACGGATGCGACAGAGAAAATCTTATTAATTTTCATCTTATTTAAAATAAATGTATTTAAATAAAACAAAACGAAACAAACAAAACAGAATGGTAAACTGTTCTTCAAGTATAATATGACATCTAATGAAAGACCGTTGTCAGGACCGTTGTAAATCGGCATCCATTCGAAAAATAATACATGCTGTTATTTTTATCAATTTTGTTCGTGATTTTTGCTTAAAATGGGTATATTTTTTAATGCTTTTTTGTTATTATAAGTATGATTTTTTGGATTATTTGTTTTATAATATGGCATATCAAAATTTTCTTTTTTTTTTTTTATTTTTTTTTTTTGATATCATTCATATATTTCTTTATATTGCAAAAAACTAATGTATCAAGGACAATCACAATTTCTTTTTTTCTTTTTTACTTGTAAATACATGTAAATATTTTTTTATTTTCTGTGTTTTTTAATTTCTTGCTGCAAATTACTTGGAATGAATTAGTTGCAATGTGTCGTACAAAAGCATAGGGGTACAAATACGTTACCAGTTTCATTCTTTAAAAAAAACGAAATAGTGTAACCCGTAGTGTTTTCTAATGTAGATAAAGTTGAAACAAATATGTTAAAATTATGATTGCAAAAAAAGAAAGAATCAATTACAAAAATAAGAAGAAGGACAACAATAAAAGAAAACTATCGACAAGGGAAACGAAACGTGATCATCTCAACTGCACAAGCACGTTGGTATAAATACGTTACCATTTTCTTGCAATACATATAAAAGGGAAAAAGAAAATTAATATATTATAATATCTATAGCCAAATAAATGACAATAAAAGAGAACAAACACGCTGAAATTCGGGGATAAAAAACACGTTACCATTTCAATTGCAAATATAGCTGATGCCAAATATCTCGTCACACGATTAAAACGTAGCTCCAAATACTGGAAATCATAAAAAGAACTGTATAAAACTTGTATATCTCTGTTGTCACTATGTAATTATACATGTTGTTCTATTGAGATTTCTATGAACTATGTTATCTTAATGACTTGTAATCATTATTCTATTTCAGAAAGCTTATTTAGCTAGATTCGAGGAATCGTTTTTCAAAGAAAGTTTCCTGGTATTGCAAATACTTTGATATGTTGACTCGTATAGTAATCAATATAAAAAGAAGCATTGGCCAATAGCGGTTGAGATGTCTACCTTGGCATTATGTTGTTATGATCCCTACTAGAGTCACTAGGTACCACCTTACCTAATAAGACATAGTAAAAGCGAACTTGGAAATAATTTAGTAGTTGCAAGAACTAGCTTCAACATATCGAGCTAATATAAAAATTATAATAGTAACACCGAGTCTTCGATAAGACGAACATATTCGGTGTACTCTTCAGAAATATCTGTAAAATATCAGATACAAAATATCATACAAAATGTCTAAAAACCATTGTCATAAAGTGGGTGAGCAGTGATATATAAGAATATCCACAATTAAGGCCACTTCGAAATTAAGACCACTTTGGTCCAGTCCCGATGGTGGTCTTAATTGAAGGTGTTCACTGTAAAACTGTAAAAACTTTATTTTTTCGTCTTCAAGGAGTGTCCATTTACGGACTTACCTGATAAGCACTGCTTAACTGCATGTTATGAAAGAAAGGCAGGAACATGTGACACGTGACGGGGTACGTCATCAATCCCGACAACGCCACTAACCAATACTGAGCTCCAAATACGTACATCTCGGTCGGAATGCCAAGAACTGTGATCGCCGACATGTAACTCGCAATCAGGGACATGGCGACCGGAAATACCGCCATTTCCCGCCCTCCCATCAACAAATCGTCTGAAGTTGATTGTTTCGGCGCCAATTTTTCTTTGATAATATAATATATCCCAACAAATGTAGATATCATTAAAACTCCAATAAAAAGAATATAATCCAATGCTTGAAACGTTGCCATGGTTAAATCGATGTTTAATGTCCGTTAGTTGAAAACAAGAAGATTAGTCTCATGTATTTTTTTATTAAAATGAATTCTTGCACACTATTGAAACAATGTAGCTTTATTCAGAAGTTACAGAACACAAGCTGACCATGTGGTCAATTTTTGGCATTTTATATCACAATGTCTCGGTCACTTATCTGCAGTAATGCTATATTATAAGAAGGTCGGCGGTACAGTATGAACCAAATCTCTGATAAGAAAGATAAAATCTTAGACTATGTAGTACTACACTAGTTGAAAGAGCTCTGTAACTGTGTAGTCAATTCTATCCATCTTAAATTATCTGTAGAGTTTCTTCCTCGTGGCATTTCGTAAATTTTATTAAAATATAATTGGTGTTATTTGTTTGCGTTAGCAATTTTTTATACATAAACTTTTCAAGTAAAACGATCCATTCCTAGAGAAAATAATGTTGTACCTAACCCCTTGCTTCTTTTGCTTTTATGTGATCTTTGTTTTTTTTTTTTATTGATTTACACAGTTTATTTCAAAGTAGCAATGTACACTAGTTAATAATAATATTATACATTTTAATCTTATCTACTTTGGTATGGAAATGCAAAACTTATGGTGAATACTGCGCGGAACTGTCTTATCATCGTGGTTGTATAGATACCAAAAACCAAATTGCTAAGCGGTGTGCAACATCGTGTCGTGTTAGTTTCCAGATAGCCGCTCAAATACAGACGCTGCATTTTGGATGGAATTTTAAAACACTTCAAGTCGGCACAAGTTCCAGTTTTCCAGGTTGAATTTTATGTTGCACCAACACAGAAGAGGTCATATGGCTTTACTGGTGGAGGCAGACCTCAGGTGCCACTACGTGCATTATTTCAGGCTCCTGAGTAGAGCAACTAACGTTTCTAAGTTTATTATAAAAAATAGGACAAAGAACACATCCTCTGCAAGCAATAATTATTTCAAGCACTTAGGTGAATATTTCTCATCATTTTTTATTTACAATCCTGCCATCTTTCTCGCATACAATTTAAATGTTTTCCACTCACCGATTTTGGTACCAAAGAAGACGTTGCATTATAGAAAGGGAGGAGAGAGAGAAAGACACAATTAACAACAACAACCTGTCACTTTTTTAATTTTTAATATATTATTATCATATTAATTCATGAAATACATGTATACAGTATATATATGCATTGCATAAAATGTGTCATATGGCCAAATGTAAAAAATGACGTAATATCATATAAATAGATCTAGTTCTTTTACTAGTAATCTCCGTCTTCTACATACATCTATATATATTTATACATTCAAGTCAGCTTATATAACATGTATATAGGAAGTCGCATTAATTAACATAATAATGGATAATGATTATTAAATGCTTTAAATAATATTTAATTATCTAAGTTTGAAATTATGACAAAATTTTAATGGTCTTTTTTCTTGCAGCTTTAAAACATGCACATGTTTTTATTTAGTTTTCTTATATAAAAAGGCATGTATACATTACAGTGTCATGTGTGCAGCTAATATCAATTGGTTAAAAATAATATGAATGAAAAGTAAGCAAGACAAATAATTAGAAACAACATTATTTTCAAACGAAAAAACAAAAAAATCAATAAAAATGATTTGAACAATTTAAAATGTAAGTTTCAGGTCTTGGTTTTGACAACTCCTCATTATTGAAATAGAAATATACAAAAAAACGCTACATTCATGGCAAATCATAAATCTTCTATTCCCTCATCCTACCTAGATATTTTATCTAGTTTCTATGAACCTTTACAAAATAAATACTGCGAAAAAATATATATGAAGAAACATCTGCATTAATTTTTTATCTATTAAAACACTTGTTATTTGTTTGAAATAAAATATATTTTGGGACAAAATCAATAAAAGAAAAGTAACTAACAAAATGTTAGCTAAATATATTCAAACTAATTTAGAACTAAAAACAAGAGCCGGTTGAACCGGGTGATGCTCCCCGAATAGGTTTTGGACACAGGAAGGTATACCTCTTGTAGTGTCAGAGTTATGTCACAGACAAAGTTCAAAGTGTAAAAATAACCCAAATGTTGTGCACGACACATTGTCTCAATATGGTGATCATTTTTGTGAAATAGTTGTAAAATCCAACTTCAAATAACAAAGTTATGGGCCGGACATGATTTTGCTGCAAGGTCATGCTGTGACCTTGACCTTCAAGGTAGCAACCCAAATGTTGCGCGCGACACGTCATCTCAATATGGTGATCATTTCTGTGAAATATTTTTAAAATCCGACTTCAAATAATGAAATTATGGACCGGACAAGATTTTGCTGCAAGGTCATGCTGTGACCTTGACCTTCAAGGTAGCGACCCAAATGTTGCGCGCGACACGTCGTCTCAATATGGTGATCATTTCTGTGAAAAAGTTTTAAAATCCGACTTCAAATAACAAAGTTATGGGCCGGACACGATTTTGCTGCAAGGTCATGCTGTGACCTTGACCTTCAAGGTAACGACCCAAATGTCGCGCGCGACACGTCGTCTCAATATGGCGATCATTTCTGAGAAATAGTTGTTAAATCTGACTTCAAAAAATGAAGTTAAGGACCGGACACGATTTTTCTGTAAGGTCATCCTGTGACCTTGACCTTCAAGGTAGCGGCCCAAATGTTGCGCGCCACACGTCGTCTCAATATGGTGATCATTTCTGTGAAATAGTTTTAAAATCCAACTTCAAATAACAAAGTTATGGGCCGGACACGAATTCGGGACGTACGTACGTCAGTATGGACGGACTGACGGACAACCCGACGACTATATGCTCCCCCGAAATTTTTCGGGGAGCATAAAAAATTTTGATATTTGAAAAAAGTTTTAGTTTAACCTACAAAAAAATAAAATATGGTTTTGTTAAAGGCACATTATGCCTAAGAAACAAATAAATATTTACTTTTTTAGAAAGGGCAATCTGAGTTTTGTAACATTTATATAATACTTTTAATTAAAATACATGCTTGTTAACTAAAATCACCAGTGTTAAATGTTAAAATATTTTTCATGAAAGTAGGAAAATGTAAAAAAAAATACAAAATGTAATATTTTGACTTTTGTACAAAATACTAAATTACTAGAATTATATAAGTGCCAAACAGCAAAAGTAGAAAATATACTACATCTATATGGCCTGAATGAGTAACATTTTTGGAAACTGTTACAAGATACCACAGTTTTTGTGAAATGAAAATGATAGAGATCTGGAAGCATAATGGGCCTTTAAGAAAATTTATGTAATAGAAAAAATTAAATTTAAAAACACAAATTGTAATTTTTATATACCGGTAAAAGGAAATCTTTAATTTCAATGTAAATGATATGAAATTAACCTTTCAGAATACTACCCATGACAATTTGTGGATGTTTAGACAGTAATCATACTCAGGCCAGCCTGCGCACATGCACACCCAGTCCAGCCAGACTTAACACTGTCTGGCGCTCTCTCAACATTAGTATTAATATTGAAATCCCTAAAACATCTAATGGGCTCTTCCAAATGTCACAGGAGGACCAGTCTATTTCACAAATTTTGCAGTATAAGGGGTGCACTGAAATAAATTATTCACATTGAAATTAAATAGCAAAAATCATGCCTACTATAGACGTCATCCAGAACTCTGAAAATATATTTTTTCCCAGCTTATAATCTGTAGGTACAAACTAACATTTACCCAGTTACATCTGCTCGGTGCACAAGCCGTCACTATATAAGAAGTTGTATTTGTAAAAGTATGTTTGTACCTACAGATACGCTGGGAAAAACCTAAATATTCTTTATTCTGTAGAAAGACTATTCATGTAATTATAATTTGATTATAATGGTACTCTAAAAGAACTATGAAAAAATATATAAAATAATTAATTATTTATCTAAAATTACCTAAAAAATGTACGGATTTACAATGTTATTGTGTAGTCCAGTGCATAGAATGGTGTTTTCAATGGAATGTTTGTTAATGTAATTTTAACATAAAAAAAACAATATATACATGATATTGCAATAAAAAGTCACATGACTTGCAAAAAGTCACATGACTTGCAAAAGTCACATGACTTGCAAAAAATAACAAAACATTTCCTATGGCATTCAGATATAACTGGATCGTCAAAAAAGATCTATGGTTGCTATAGTTACTATGCTGTATAAAATAAGTAAAATAGTCTTAAAATAGAATCAAAATAGTAAAAAATGCAGTCAGGCCATCCCAAAGAAACTATTGCTTCTGTTTCTCGCAACACAAACTTTTAACACCATGTTATATAATATATTTTCATATTTGTAAAGAATATAAACAAAACACTTTTAAATTACATGTATTAAAAATTGCAACATAATATTATTTTTATAGAAAGCAAATTTGTTAAATGAATAGCACAAGTACTCACAAACAAACAGTTCTTTTTTAGGATGGCCTTGCAGAATTATGTAATAATTTAGCATAATTATTAGCAGGACAACAGTGTTTAATAATGAATTGCTATTTTATGTTTTGATTTTTTCCCCAATTTTCAACAATTGCATGTAGCTTATTCAAATTTCCCAATTGTAAGATCCCAGTTGTTGCGAAAATAGTTTTAAAAAATTCACTGACAGAGTTGCCTCAAATTAAATAACAAAAACTTTGAATACATATTATGCATAGTATTTTAAAAAAAAAACAACAGCAAATTTTACAGATAAAAAAAACAAAACATTTTCTTCATTAAATGGCATTGAAATAATATTGATTCAAATGAGTTAAAACATATCTTCCTTTCTGCATAGAATGAAAGACAAACTAATATAAATGCTCGATTCAACTGATTCAAGTGACATAGCTTTATACGTAACTTGGTTGCCAATTACATTCATTTATAGCCAGCAGTGATAATGTCTCATCTACGAGACCGATGTACAACTAGACCAGCCTGTACATCTGGGCACTCATTCATCTGACCGCACTTCATACTTTTGGATTCTCAACATAATTCTACTGATCAATGTTTCATTTGAAAAATCTGACCATATTTGAAACATCATGTTAATATTTTGATCACGGAATCCACAAACTAACACATCTAACCACAATAAAACCACATTTAATACAGCCTGAATGCCTGATTTCAATATTTTTTGATAGCTTTATCCCTAAACAGAAGCTATGCTGAGGTCCATAAGCTTAAAAACATAACATTTGAAATTCTTACATAAATCATGTGAGGCACTTAGAATGGTTTATTCAGTTCATATTGGTGTTAACCCTCTGACAATAGGTGTATGTTTACCCTCTGACAATGGGAATGTGTTTGACTTTACCCTCTGACAATGGGTGTATGTTTGTCCTCTGGCAATGGGTTTATGTTTACCCTCTGACAATTATCCTCTGACAATGGGTGTATGTTTACCCTCTGACAATAGGTGTATGTTTATATATTTATGTATGTATGTTTATACTCTGACAATGGGTATAAGTTTATCCTCAGACAATAGGTGTATGTTTACCCTTTAACAATAGGTGTATGTTTCGGTAGCTTAGGGTTTATTTTTACTCTCTAAATAGGGGTGCTCATTATGTTCATTCTCTGTAAATTGGTTTTATGTTGGTATTATGTTTACAATCTGACATCATGTTTATGTTCATCACAGACACAAATCATATCTTTATACACTTACTGAGGGTATAATGTTCACCCTCAAATTAAAGCTCTATGTTCCCCTTTTGAAAACTAAACATATGTTCATATAAGTCAGAAAATAAATGTTTACCACTTGGAAAAATGGTATGTCCACTTTCAAGCAAAATCAATATCTTAATCCTCTGACCGTGGAATAAAGTTTGCCAGCAATGTTCATCTCTGATTAAATGTCGCTAATGTTCACTTCCTACACATACATTATGTTCCTCCTCTGATGGCAGGTATTTGTTTTTGTTACATGTTCACCTACTTGCAACAGGTATAAGTTAACCATTTTTGTCTCATAGCATACAGACAGTAACTTCATTCACACATCCTTCCTTGCTATGAATGGGAACACTTTAACAAGCAGCACAGATTTGCCACTCATCAGGTTGTACACGGCATCCTGGGATAGGTCCCGCACCACGTGGTTGTTAACTTCAATAATCTCGTCACCGATGCCAAGTAACCCTGCAAAACTTTGCTCAGATCTTGTTTCCGCAAAACGTGACACAAAAATTCCTGAAAATATAATTCAAGTATTATAAAATCAAAGACATTTTTATTTTAATTCAAACTTCAAACTCAAACTTTGAAGTTTTGTATGTACCTTGTAAATCAATTTGCAATGAATTTTAAAATAGTTTGTCTTTACGTTTTCTTATTTTAAACGATAGATTCATGTTTAAATCTTCTGTAAACTTTTTTTCATTTTTTATGACAATTATGTATAATTAGTACTTTGAAAATTACATTTTGGCAAATTGGAAGATATGCATTTTCTTTAACATGCAATAAAATGTTTTAAAAATATAGAGAAGCTGTTATATTTCTTTAAAACTAACCATTTCCAAATTTCGCACTGCCTTTAGCAATAAAGAATCCCATTGGTCCATTTTCTGGCTTTATCAGCTTTATCATCTGTGTCCCATCTGGGTTAATCTTAAGAAGCTTTCCCATTGGCTGAATTTCATGTTGAGTTGAACTAGTCTCTGTGTCCTGCTTTCTGATTGGCTGATGATGAATGGGAGAGTTCATTGTTTCAAGGGAGTGACAAGATGCCCAATGCTTTTGTTTACCATTTGAAAGATTATGAGTTGGTTCATTTCTACCTAGAGGACTCCCATGTTTGCTAAAATGAAATAAGAAATTTATAATGACTTAGTTTTTATTTTCTTTTGGTGGAATAAAGCTTTTTTCTACTGTATAAATTTAAGAAAATGTATTAATTGTCACAAATCATTGTTTTCATACCCTTCTGTTTATTTTACAAAAGAACTTTTACAAAAAGAGCCCATGTTTTTAATACACAACAGAAAAAAAAGGTTCAATAACTAAATACATATATTTCATTCCATTGCCATTTGAAGTACTGCAGGTTGCGCAACAAATAGATGTTATCCAGAAAGCAACAAATGTGGGATTTTCCAAGCTTATCCCATGGAACAAACAAACTTTTACAGTTAAAGCTTCACAGTATAAATTATACTACCTTTCACATCAGAGTAGTTTATTTAAGAAATGACATCAGCCGGAGAGGTGTATATCGGCTATTTAACACCGGTTTGGAGTTTTGATGCGTAGGAATTGACCATGAAGGCCGTAGGCCTGAGTGGTTAATTTTGTCGCATCAAAACGACAAAACTGGTGTTAAATAACCGATATACACCTCTCCGGCCGATGTTATTTTGATTCTAACACGATAAAATAAGGAAAATCACTAATGTTATTTTTCAAGCGGAAATAACTTCCGGTGCCGATTTTCGTATAATGCTGTTCGATTTTCGCACCCTACTGTTGCGAAGATATAGAAACTATTAAACAAAAGAAATAATTAGAAAAAAAACGTTATTTTATCAAGTTTTCAACAATAAAAACTTACGTTGTATTGTGTTTACATTAGTGCCCCATATATCATTCTTGTATGTATGAAATAACGTCAGCTTGTTTATTAATGAGTTGTTTACTTAGGATGACGTCATTAAGCTGCTTACGGATTGGCGCCGTTTTGTCAAAATATTTATTAACTGATATGGATCTAATATGTGGCGTAAGTGTATGTGAGATATTATTTCGGTATTGTATGAAAAGAAAACATTATACGAACTGAAAATATAGATAAAAATGCTTTTTATTGTTGCTTTAAAAGGCCTTATAACTATGCAATCGAGGGTGAAAACATAACAGCGCATATTCAAGTAGTCCCTAACCGATGTTTATTGGCAGTTTAACACCAGTTTTTTTTCCTTCTTTGTCTAAAGTGACAAAATCACGTGAGTGTTAGAATTTATTTTTAAAGCTGTAACGGTAACAGTTTGTCTGTGCCCTCAGATCCTCTGATAAGCTGGGAAAACCAAAAATATTCTTAAAATTCTGGTGTAAGTCTACGTGTACATGAACACAGCTTGACTTATCTGAAGTTGAAACACACAATTCTTTCAAGTACATTTTTGTATTACTCTTATCACATTCCTGACGTCATTTAGTTTGCATGAATACATTCCATTTTATGATGTGCATATATTGTGTAATATAATTATATGCACTTGATTGCCTTATCTGTTTGATAGAGTAACAGAGTGACACTTGTTAGAATTTTATACATTGAATTTATATTAGCCTGAATGTATTATAATACAAGTTACTTTAATGTCATCTAACACCTGTCTTACATGAAGTACACTTTATGGAGACTATGCCTCAATGAAAACCACTATGCACAAGGTAAGACATATTTTTAGTTACATTACTTTCATACATACCCAGCATTTTCTACATCTTCAATCACAAACTGGCCTTTTTTCTTCTTTTTCCTATTGAAAAGGGAGGTAAATGACTTCAGTGACAGATTTTTCTTCACTTTAGGAAAGTTAGAGTGACTGTCCTTAGATGTTTGTGGATTTTGTCCCGTTGGATTTGGATCAATACCAACTGTCTCAATTCCTCTATCCATGCTAAGAGCTTTCTTGAACATTTTAAACTTTCCCTTACTTCCCCGTTTCTTTTCCACTTTCTGTTCACTTTCCATGTTACTGAAACAGAAGTAACTTTTATGTAAAACATTTAAGTTCCCTTGACAACAGTGGCAGTTATTTTAGGACTCATCATTCAATAAGTAATCACTAAAATATAGAAAAAAAACTAAAGTCAACAGATCATTTAAGTTAACCAACAAAAGTTAAGGAACATAATTATGATAAATCTAAATGTTGAGAAGATGTACATGTATGCTATGTTTAGGCGGGAAGACCCACATCGTCTTTGCGGCGGGAATCAAGATAAACATCAACGTATATATATCAACGTCACTATTGTTTATTTGTATATTTTTAAAATAATTCATGTATAGAAACAAGACACAAGGCGAATTTATACCCCACACTGATTTTCATCTTGCACAAGTAATGCAAGCTGTTACTTCTTTGTGCAAGAACTTTACTCTTAGTTCTGCGCTGGTTGGTTCCAGGAACGAATTTGAGTGTGTTTCTATAAGCTTATAGCTTCCTACACAATCATACTAAAATAAATTATGTAGAAACTAATATTATTGACAAAAACTTTTTTTTAAAGTTTTCATGAAAGTTTTAATAAAACTTTGAACAATTTTAAAGGAACCTTCCTGTGAAGTTTGGATAAAATTGGCTTAGTGGTTCATGAGGAGATGTCATTTAAAGCAAAAGTTTACGGACGGATGACAGACGGACGCCGGATGAAAAGCGATCACAAAAGCTCACCCTGTCACTTTGTGACAGGTGAGCTAAAAATGTTTGACTTTTAATGTTATCTTAATCATATAATATACTGTCTCCTTAGTGCAGCAATGCATTAATTCTATCAAATTATATAAGGAGTTAACTGCTATTGCACTAAGGTGGCAATATTAGGGTTATTAAATTCAACAACAACAATTCAAATCAATTCAGTCACTAGATCATGTCTATGTCATACCTAGGAAGGGGTTTCCATTCTTCTATTTCACTTTCCCCAGATGTTCCCTTGCTCAAATGTGCTTGACCTGCCTTTGAAGGATTTGAACTTTGACCTGAAATAAAATCAAGTTGATTTTCTGTCGTGTTTTAATCAAATATCATCTCCAAATCCTTAATTTTGGAAGTGTCTTCCCATGTTTTACATAAGTTTGTCTTAAAGGGACTCCACTGAGATCTTAAACAGAATAAAATATTCCGGAACAAAATATTCTGCGGCTCTTCTCGTAGGTTTGGCAATTTCATGCAGTCACCATTCGCTATTCATAATTAAATAAAATATAGTCATTCTAGGTATTCTGTAACCACTTTAATCACAGTATAAACAACAATATTTCAATCTAGAGGCAGCAAATGTAGCTTTATACACTTTAAACTTATTATATTTCAAGATCAGAACAATTCAAATAAATGTAGTACAGCATTTTACACTTTTTATACAATGTAAATTACCTGGTAATGTTGAGGAATGAGATCTTTGACTTTGTTCCGCTTTTTCCGTCTTCGTACACAAATTAGATTCCAAAGTCGCCGTCTGTCCTTCGTCCACTTTAATTTTATATTTTGAGAAATTCAATTGATCTGCAAGCACATTTAGATTCTTATTTTTATGTTTAGTTCTAACTGGTTTTTGTGGTGGCTGAGCTTTGGCAGGAGAAACTGCCCGTTCAATTTGCACGTTCACATTTTTCAGATTATCCGATGGAATGTTAGTTTTATCACTTTCTGAAGGTTTACCCCTTGGATCTAAGATAACTGGTTCAGCTGTAACTGTGTTATTACAATCACCAGATATAAACTTATCAACACTTTCAGTATCTCTACCAGCTGATGTAGCTGATTCAAATGGTGTTGTCCTTTTGACAGAATTTCCTGCCTTGGTTTGATCAATGCCAAGTCTATCTGTTGCTTTATTCAGATCAATATTTGCATTAGACACTTCAAATGATGCCTTAATACCAGTATGTGGTACACTGGTATCTTGTCTCTTTGTCACATTTTCATAACCTGCTGAGTCACGAGATTTTGCATAAATTCTATTTACAGCATTCTTCTCATCCACAGGTTTCTTGCCGTCTTCAGGTGGGGAAAAAGTACCTTTTCTTTGTTTCAATATATTCCTTATTTTTAATCTCTTTTCTTTCACTCTTGGTGAAGTCACGGCAGGTTGGTACATTCCTTTTATCATTTTCTTCAGTTCACTTGGTCTCCCTTCAACTAAGTTTTCAATATTTGTTCCAGAATCAAGCTCCATTTCTGTGAAGTTTTCTTCCTCATTTTCTTTCGCATAATTGTCTTCCAAAGCACCTTCAGGTGAATGAACTTCATCTTCAATGCCATCGTCATAACTCAGATTGCAAGCATGAGTCATGAGGTCAGCCTCATTCTCACTTAACAGAGATATAGAACTGTCTTCGGATGAAATTGATGAGATCGAGCATTTTCGTTGCTTTACCAGTCTGGAAGACGAATTATTGGATGAATGGGTTTTGGAATGTCTAGACTGATTCCCTGTTAAATTTGGCAAAGATGAATACTTTGATATAGTATCAGAATTTTGGCAAGAATTCGTTTTTGATGTAGTGTTTGAGTTTTTGGTGGATTTTTGTTGTGAGTGAGAAACATTTCCATTTATTTTAGGGATTTGTGCTACAGTTCTTGCTAAAATAGAGTTTTCAGACAGGGGGATTTCTACTACTCGTAAATCTAATTCACTCTGTGCAAATAAGGGTGCACTTTTAGGGCGACAACCAGCAGGTGACTGAAGATTGCGTAAAATATAAGGAGAGGGAGACCTTGCCCTTCGGTATTTTTCAGCAATTTTCCTGTCCTTTTCAGAAGCTTTTGAGATACCTAGTCTGATATCCGTGTCATCTCTTTCCTCAGTAGCAGAGTTACCTCTCCTTCCTCTATAGTCATGTGACTTCAGAATGTCATGTGATAAATGCACCAAGTTGACCTCATCTAGAATATCCACATCAACCTCAGACCTGAAAATATCACAGAAAACATAAGCAACACATCTTTTTTTGTCAGAATTTTTTTTTTAGCTTTCTCTGACAAAAGTAAATATAAGAAAATCCTGTGATATTAAATTATTCATTTGCATTATGTTGCAACTTTCTGACCTGTAATATGCAAGCTTTTAATGCTAGAACATGTAGAAGTTTAGTCGTCCTTATTGTAATGACCTAATATAATGTGTTTGTACAATAAAAAACCTCCAACCAAATAAAAACAAAAGTAAACAAGAGGGCCATGATGGCCCTGAAGTCGCTCACCTGTATATAGGCCCTAGGCTTTTATTTGAACAAACTAAGAAGACACCCATTAGAAGATGTTTCATGCTAAATAATCTAAGCTCTAGGTCTTTGAGTTTTTTAAAAGAAGATGTTAAGTTTTAACTTCAGACATATAATGAATAACAATGACCCCCCCCCCCCCCCCCCCCCCCCCCCCCCCCCCCCCCCGGCAGGACCAAGGGCTTTTATTATTTGAACAAACTTGGTAGACACCCATTAGAAGATGTTTCATGCTAAACATCTAAGCTCTAGCTCGTTGGGTTTTTTTTAAAAGAAGATTTTTTTAGAGTTTTTACTATACACATATAGTTAAAAACAATGACATCCCTAGGGCGGGGCCAGTTTTGACCCCAGGGCTTTAATTTGAACAAATTTTGTAAACACTTACTACAAGATGTTTCATGCTTAATATCTAAACTCTAGCTATTTTGGGTTTTTTCAAAGAAGATTTCTAAGTTTTTTGCTATAGACATATAAGGAAAATCAATGTCCCCCGGGTCGGGGCCAATTTTGACCCCAGGGCTTTTATTTGAACAAACTTTGTAGACACTCACTAGAAGATGTTTCATGCTTAATATCTTAACTTTAGCTATTTGGGTTTTTTCATAGAAGATTTTTTAATACACTTGTTACTATATATAGTAACAAAATTGCCTATGATTTCAACTGATTATGAGTGTCACGTGACCTATTATGAGTTTGTGGCCCGGGGCCGAGAACTAGTTATCAGCCCGCAGAACATGTGCACGTTCACAAACTGAAACAATGACATCATATTTTACGTCATCAAACTGTTAACTGTAAAAGTGAAAGTAGGTTGTCAGCACGAATCGCTTTATTTTTATTATGAGAGCTTAAGTGTATTTAGTACAAACACATTTTTGTTACTATTAAAATTTGAAGAAATAATACGACAAATTCATTCCGAAAAAAAAATGAAAATAAAACTTGCTTCTAGATTCTACTGCTTTGAACACACAAACAGTAGTCTCTAAACATCTCTGTACAGAACAGTAGAAAAGTACTGTAGACAAGAATTTCAACGAAAGAACTTCACAGTATTTATTGTTTTTTTTTCTTTTAAAAAAAAATGCTACTAATAGATCTACCAAGTGTATTAAAGACATTAATACACGTCAGAGTAGGGCCGGAAGGTGATAATCGGCCCTGAATGAATAATGGCCCTCGGGCTAAAGCCCTCGGGTCCATTATTCATTTTGCGGGCCGATTATCACCTTCCGGCCCTCTCCTGCAGTGTATTAACCTCTTATTAAGTGTTTGCTATACACATATAAGGAAAATCAATGACCCCAGGGGCGGGGCCAATTTTGACCCTAGGGCTCTTATTTGAACAAACTTGGTAGACACCCATTAGAAGATGTTTCATGCTAAATATCTTAGCTCTAGCTCTTTGAAATCTTTAAAAGAAGATTTTTTAAGTTTTTACTGTATGCATATAGAGAAAATCAATGACCCCAGGGCTTTTATGTGAACAAACTTGGTAGACACTCACTAGAAGATGTTTCATGCCAAATATCTAAGCTCTAGCTCTTTGGGTTTTTTAAAAGGAGATATTTAAAGTTTTTTCTTTCGGTTGCCATGGCAACCAGAGTTCTGCATGGAATTAAATTCTTTAAACAATTTTCAAAGGTGACCACCAAAGGAACAGTTTGGATGAAATTGGCTTAGTGGTTTATGAGGAGATGTCATTTAAAGTAAAAGTTTACGGACGACGGACGGACAGACGGAACTGGACGAAAAGCGATCCTAAAAGCTCACCCTGTCACTTTGTGACAGGTGAGCTAAAAAGGACTCCTCTGTATTATAGTTTTGCTAAGCCTCATATCAAGTAAATTCAGTTTCAAGTACACTTATAAACTTCTTTACACAATAAAGTGTTACACATGGCACTAGTTAAGAGTTACAAATTTCAGTAAAATCAATTATGCTGACAATTATAAAATCTAGTGCAGGAAAACCTACAGTATTAAGTGAATACATTTAATTTGCTTACTTCAAAGGGAGAAGACTGTGATCTGCCTTGAATGGCTGATGTTTCATAGTTGCCTCCCTTTGTTGTGCTCTCCCTCGGGGAGGTAATGTGTCTGTTCCCGTACTGCTGTAACCTATCCCAGAATCCACATCTGACTCTGGAACACAAATCACACATTATTAGAAACTGCATTATTTATTTAACTACACTCATCTGTTTCGTATGACTTTCGTTAACTTTAAAGAGGCTAAACCAAACAGAACTCGAGGGGAATGATAATAGTCTGTTAGGGGACTAATAAAGTTTCCCATACATCACATGGTATATCATGTCCAGGCATATATATAGGTCTTTATGGTTCCACATAACTTACTTTGATTTTTAATTTCTTTGAAATTTTTTTTTAAAGTTTGTATATGAAATACTACAAGGTTTCGCAGCCACCATGTTTTAATGTATCAGAAGTGCACTGACTATTTCACATTATGTCCAATAAAAAATACTGGCCCCCTAGTCACTGCTTAAAGTATACTGTTGTCAAAACGGTGGGCAATAACCGTGGGACCCGTATTAGCCAATAGTTGCTATTCATCAATTAGGAAACCAGTGATTTTAACCACTTAACACACTTCTGTTGCGTTAAAACATGGCGGCTGCGAAACCTGGTAGTATTTTATGGAAGACGGACAAAACCCCACCAGTTAAAACCCCACCACTCAAAATTTTATAGAGTGGACAAAACCCCACCACTAAATTTTGTAGAGTGGACAAAACCCCACCACTAAATTTTGTAGAGTGGACAAAACCCCACCACTAAATTTTACACAGTGGGCAAAACCCCACCACTTCAGTTTCACTTTTGTCCACTCTATAAAATTTTGAGTGGTGGGGTTTTAACTGGTGGGGTTTTGTCCTACAAAATAATGAATTTTTTATTCACAGACTTTTTAAAGACTGCGAGCTTTGAATCCTTAAGTGCCTATGGGTCAAAGGTTAAACAAATCACCAGGAAAGATCATCAAGCTTAAGTCTTGTAGGAATGTATTAAGGCCTTTAAACCTGCTGGAACTGCTTAGCTTTTGCTACCTGGTGTCAGAGTAACTACATTGCCAAGCCGAAAATGTGCTGTTTGACTTAAGGCAGTCTATAATTTTGGCTAAATATTCTTATTTTGATGTTAAACTTTAAAATTTAGAATGGAATGTTTCAAATTCAAGGATGGGAAAATATCCAAGTACATGTAATATGGAAATTTAGCAGATTTATGGCTACACATTGTATGTCCCACTCCCCACTGAATTCCCCAAAAGTTGTAACATAAATATGGAGAAAAAATACTTTTGCACAAAGTCGAACAACACTTACATTAAACTTACATATATAACACATAAAATCCTGTTTATATGTAAGATACAACAAAGAATCATATAAAGAAAGGCAAGAAATAATGATGAAATAAACAATATTCTTTTACTGAGTATACAGATATTCATGTTCAAAATATTTAACAATACTTCTGTAAGTCACTAAAGTCAACTGAGATTAAGGCTTTTTAACTTTACAACGGTGACATTTTTATTGCAGGCATATATGCCCCATAATAGACTATTTACAACCTGAAATGTTGAAACTGTGCCAAACATCCAAACATTCCATTCTTATTTATACCAAATACAAATATAAGGGGATACTGACAAAAGCCCCCCATTTTAAAAATGACACAGTGGGTAGGACAAAAGCCCTCCGTCTGGTCTATAACCTAATAGAGGGGGGGGGGCTTTTGCCCTACTAATTTGTTTCATGGGACATGGGAGGTGGGGCTTTTGTCCTATACTTCATTCTTACTGACTTTAAAGCGGCACACCTCCAGTTTCATATTCAGAAATTGTTTTAATTTGTAAAAATCTTGCCATTCAAGTGTACATATTTATTATATAAACTGATTTAACATAGCCTTGGACACTTTTTACCAATATAATATAATTATCATAAAAGTTGGATAGGGCTTTTTTTTTCTTTTTTTTCTTTTTTTATGAACAGAAAACTCAAAATGTTATGAAATAATTTGTTCAATGAACTTTTATCATAGGTCCTATAATGCATTTTCCAACTTAAACTTGTTATAAATTTCTTTTGTTTGATTTTTATGAAACTTATTTATAACAATTAATGTACAAGGGCAAGCAATTTTTTAAACCACACAATTTTTGTTTAAGGGGTTCATTTAGTGCAAAAAAATTCAATTTATCTAAGGTACATTGTAATTTAAGCTTGATATTTGAAATTTCAATTTTTATTTTAACTATAATTTAGTGAGTCTTAAATTTCATGACATGGGCAATCGAGATTAATCCACAACAGATTGAGGCCAAATGATACAAAATGTATTTTTCTGGGCACAAAAGGAGTCACCTAGGCTAGGTATATGAACATTAAGCCTGCTTATAAGGAGGCAAAAAAAATTCTTCCAATGAAAGCTCAGTGCAGACCAAGATCAGCCGGTATACGTACGCCGGGTACCATCTGATCATGGTCTGCACTGTTTGCTACTCTATCTGTACTAATTTCGAAGTTTTCCCTAAAAATGATGTATGGCTTTGTCTAGATTAAAAGATGGATTAGTCCATTTTAGGAATTTAGTGATAATCACTAAGGACTACTATCAATAAAACTAAGAGAAGGTGACAGAAAAGTTTTTTGTCATAGAATTAACATAAACTTCATAATTATAGTAAAAATCAAACTTCAATAAATATTCAAATCAAGAAAATTCATTGAATTACGCATTATGTAATTATATTGAATAACTTAAAATAATAATTATGGTAAAAGGAAGAGCCTGGGGGATACAGCATAATTTTGTTTGTTTAATGTGTAATGTTTTTTTAATTTACTAAATTTATGTCAGTATATCACCATTTATAACTGAAATATACAATAATTTACCTGAACATTTACTTTAAAATCAAATTTTTTTTCCATGAAATAGGAAGACCCATGACAATTAATAATGAAATTCTTACTTAGAAATTTGGAAAAATGAGACACACATTAAATTTTAGTGCACTGGAAGGGTCCCATGATATTGAAATCTTCATAATATTAAGGAGATTAGTTTGCTTGGGTAATAATATATTTTTCCGTCCTAATTATTTTAAGTTATCCCAAAAACAGAACAGAAAAAAACTTTTTTTAGTTTAATCAGTTGGGAATATTTTATTCAAAAATTTGGGAGAAAAAACAACAAATAAAACTTTCTCCATATGGGAAGATGACAGTATTATGCGGCATTATAATTAGCCCTTAAAAACACTGCATAAGGTCAGTCTGCCCTGTCTTAGCTCAACGGTAAGGGAAAGCATCAGATTTGCACTCCAGGTCTCAACGGTTCAATTCTCAGGCAAGATGAAATTCCTTCAACAATGTTGCCTCTCACCATTGGCTTTATTAGAAGTTGTTGGTCCCTAGCGGAGAAATAGATGTTATCGGTAACTCAACAAAGTGAGTTTTTCCCAGCTAATCTGTAGGTACAAACTAACTTTTACGGTTAGTGCACTACTGTTCACAATTGATAAGTCATCTTCGAAGCTGTTACTGTAAAAGTTTGTTTATACCTACGTTATTAGCTGGGAAAAGCCCAAATATTATTAATTTCAGAGTAAGTCTTTTGGTGATTACTGGTTAGTTATCCAGGAATATATTAACCAAATTTGTGTAAAATATTGGTATAAAATTCAGTTTTTTATAAAAGATTGGTTAAACTGTATAGATGAACTGGCTGATCTGGATCTACATGATAAATGTATAAATGTATTATTGCAAAAATGAACAGCAGCCTGGTTATATTGGCAAGGTCGTATTTCTAGTCAGTATACAATTGCATCAAAAGAAATAAATCAATGACATTAAAATAGCCTGCATCCTTAGCAAACAAGACAATTCTCAATTAAACCTTAATTAAATTGTAACTTAAAATAACCGCAAAGCAACCCATAACAGAAGACATTATTATTCTCCTTTTTTGCCCAAAAACATAAAAACAAAAAATAATTTGAGATCAGGATCCTTGCTGTTCGCTATCAGTTTCTCTACTTGTAATAGAGTTGGTATTAAGCAAACAGCATGGATCCTGATCAGACTGCGCGGATGCGCAGGCTGGTCTGGATCCATGCTGGTCGCAAATGCACTATGTTGGTTTTGTCTTTACGCGGCTAATTTAAAGCTGCATGCCTCAAGAAAATTAGAGAAAATCAACTTGGAGAAAAATGAACTAAAATTGTAAGAATAAAAATATTCAATATTCAAGTAATGAATCACATGTACATGTCAAATGCAATGAATGTCTGATTTTGCAGTATTTATCAACATATTTCTTCTGTGTGACTGCATGACATTAATTGTAAGGGCTAGTTTTGTTTAGCATATTAATTGACCTTTATTTGGTAAATTAACATACATTGAAATTGCCGTTTTGCAATGTGTTAATTACTTCCTTAGTTCCACTTGACAACATTTTACTTTCTTTCAAAATATTTCAAAAACATTTTTCAAATTTTTTCAATTCAAAATTTCAAAATTAGCATGCTGCTTTAATTAGTTAGACTGGTTTGACTACCGATTAAGTAAACTTTATTTAGTTAGCTACACAAATTAACCAAAGTTAGACTTAGCAGAAATTTGAAAAATACTGCAATGTGATTGGACAAAAAATAATTTTGATAATTAAATGAAAATTAGCATGAATCTGGAGGCATGTCGCTTTAAATGGTAGATTAAAAAATTTCAAACAAACAACAGGCCATTCTATTGATTGTTATTAATGAACACTGTATGACAGTCATAATATCAAGGTATAAAATCTGTTTATGAATATACTAACTTAATTTGATGAAAGACATTTTGTGACCTTAGTGCAGTAATAGGTTAAGTCCTTCTAAATTTAATAGGAGTTAATCAGTTATTGCACTAAAGGTGATGATTTATCATTATTGACCTGCCAATACAACAAGGTAATGCATCTGCTGACCAGAAAAGGAATGTCAATTATGTACTCTAATTTAGTACAGGTAAAAATATTATCATATCTGATTTTACTTCTAGTTATATTTCATTACTATCTAAACCTATGGTTATATTAAAGTCCCTGTCTTAACTTCTGGTCATATTTTATTCATATCTAAACTTTTGTTTATATTTTTTCACTATCTAAAGTTTTGGTGAGATTTAACTCCAAACTAAACTAAACTAAACTAAACTAAATAACTTCATTTCAGTGTTGTTACATTTTTCTGGTCCTTTCCGGATGATTGAGTCTAGCTGTTTTTATAATAAGTGTTGAGAATTGAGTACCCCTCAAGCCTGTGCTTGGGGGCATGAGGGTGTTGCACTTTTTCATTATTCCTCATGTACACTACACAGATTCAATCAAACAGAGTTTGCAATTCTCATGTAATTTTGCTGTTTCTAATGCTTCTGAGGGATCACTTTTTTCCAGATATTTGTCCATTGTTTTAACTTTTGGTTATATTTTAACTTTAAATTTGGTTATATTTCAACTTTTGGTAATATTTTATTCCTAATCTTAGTACATGCATCTTGTTTTAGAGATAAATACTTTAGTTTATCTTTATTTTATAAACATTTTTTAAAAGACTAAGTGTATTAGTGCATTACAGCTTTCTCCACAAGTTACCTGCAACTTCTCCACTTGAATCAAATTATAAAAGGTTTTATAATTCTCCAAGAGCTACTGCAAACTAAACCTTTAAAGCCAGAAAACACAACAAAACAAAAATCCCCACAAGTTATTTTCAGTTTCTCTTCTGACTCATTCAAATCAGAGAATATAAAGCATAATTACAAAATGCCTTTCAAGAGATCTAGTTTTTAAGAGTAATTTTATGACCACACTAATGGGTTCTATATTCAGAATTCTTTCACTTAAAAAAAACAAAACATTTTGCTTTCAAAAGGGCAATAATCAATAATATAATTTCTAAATTAGCGCTTGAAATTAGTCATAAAGACTTCAAAATTAACATTCTTTTGCAAGTTGTATTATAACTAAAAATTATAGTACCATAAACATGATAAAACAGTTTGGTTAATTAAAGCTAATTTTGTCATCATCATTTTTTGTTGGTTGAAAAGAAAAATACTGTACATAAAAATTAAGTTATAACTTAAATTACGCACTAAATCTAAATGTATGGCATTAAAAATGTGTATATGTATAGTTACATGTTCATTCTAATTTCAATAAAAAACATTGAAACATACTTAATGGGTTTTTCAAGTTCAAATTCCTTTGCCATAAAAAAAACGCAGCTATACAATTTTAAGTCGATAATTTAATTCAAGAAATGTAGAAAAATATTTGTTCAATATAAACACAGCCTGGGTAAGATATTTCAGCGTACAAGTATTTCACGCACAGAAGATTCCGTTAAAATACGATTTAATTGTTTGAATGGCAGAATACGACTCCAGCCGATGGGAATTGACTCAACATAATTGGGTATATTATCAGGGGTCGCATATCGGAATTTGCTATTTATCATTCCAGATGTATTGAATGATAAACTCTGAAGGCGTCAGTTACAAAATTAATCGCAAACGATTATGGAAATTATAGATAAATACAAAACCATTTCAGTCTCTTTAATTTAAATATGCGATCAAATAAACAAGCCTTGTTAAGATATTACTGGTAGATTTCATATAATTGATTTTTTATCACATTTTATCATCAATTCAAAATCACTTGAATATTTCTAAAATAGAATTTGAAAAGCAATTATGATAATGTCCCTTTTGTCAAATTTGATGAAATTTAGGCATTTTTTTCTAAAGTGTAGCTAGGAGAATCTAATGATTTTTATCTTTCAATGAAACAATTTCACACCATCACAATTTAGATCATCATTAATTTTTAGAATTATTGTAAGACATGTATATTGATTTAAAGCCACATTATGCCTCAGAAATGCTTTTATTTTTATTTCTCAAAAGTTTTTTTTTTATATTCGATGTACTTTCATAGTTTCCATACAGTTACTCATTTACCAATTAATTGAACCATCTGTTTCTTCTGTCACTTTTATCTTAATTAAGTCAGTATTTCATGTTCAATATTGAAAGAACACAAAGACTAATTTTGTTTTAGTTTCCATGTAAATTACTGTAGTGTGCATTGCTTAATATAATCATTCTAAAAATTTATATAATTATGAAATTTGGACACATATAATTATTCTGTACTTAAATAAGAAAAATATATTGGTCATACTAAATGAATATCAAAAATATACAAACCTCTATGCGTATTAAACCTTTTAAATGCAGCATTGTTACTATTTATAGCATTGGTCATCACAACATCTGCCTCTTGTTCATCATCAGCATTATAATCCACTTGTTCTACAAGATGAGCACTTTTTGTCCCCTCTGTATCACCCAAGTCTTGCTTAATATCTTCCTCCGATAATGCAGCTCCATCAATATCCATCTTAGAGACATTCTTTTCTATATCACTTTCAGCTTTATCTAAGTCAATATTATCTAAATCCACTGAGGTAGTATGTCCATATGTTGTCATTTTCTCCTTTTCAACTTTTATACCATCAGCACTTCTTTCAAGAGTTTGTCCATCTTTAGAGGACTCGATTAAATGTTCTGAGGAATCTTTATGGAATTCTCCAATCCCTACATTTTCATTACCCATATCTACAGTATAAAACTGCAATAAACCAGAACCCGTTTTTTGATTCAAATTATCTAAACTACCATATTTTTCTACAATTCTATTCATCTCATCCTCTTCTGAAATACCTTTTTCACTATCATTGTTTGTTATATGTTTTTCAGAAGTCAAATTATCTACATTTCTACTGTCATTAGAACATTGCACAGTTTCAGTACTGACCTTTTCTTGCATAATATCATCAATTTTGGCACTATTATCTGCAACATGAGCACTGGCACTACTCCCTGGACTTTCAAATGAACCAGTTTCTTCTCCATTCAAGGCAGGTAACTCTGTGTCCTGTTTAACTAAGTTACTGCCCTTTGGATCAGAGGCAATGAGAGATTGCACTGATGGTGTATCAACGTCAATTGCACTATCGGGCGGTGACTCAGGACCTGACATTTTGGAGTTTATTTTTTCTAGGAGAGTATCAATTTTTAAATCTGAGTCAGCGATTAATGATTCTACATTCACAGGATGCGTTTCATTTGTTAAATTTGTATGTGGTAAACTATATCTGAACAAATGCCGCGAGGGAGAAACAGATTTGCTCATCCAACGTCTAGAATTTCTTTCGTTTTCCTTATTCACCTCAACACTATCATTTTTATGAATTTTCCGCTGAATTATAATTCGTCTCTGTTGTTTTCGGTGTCGACTTCTCTCCTTGCTTTTCTCTAACATATAATCCTGTAAACTTTGTTCATTCTCAGTCCCACTGTCATACTGGACATTTTCTCGATAAGCGTGTTTTCTAAACGGTAAATCCTCACTTAACAACTTGTTTAATGACTGAGAATTCAACTTTAACCTTTGACTCACCGAGAGAACTGAACCACTGCATTCTGACGCATCGACAGATGTGACACATTCTTTAGACCTTGATTTGTGCCTTATATAATGTCCAACTTCTCGATCCCAGTTAGTTAAATGCGTATTTGAGTGAAAATTTCCCAAACTCCCGTGAGAGCCGCAATTGTCATCGGAAACGTCTGTATCATCCTTAAACCTGACATGGAGACAAGAATTAAATAGCTTTCTGCCAGCTTCCCTCGATTCCAGACGTCGACGAAATGCATGAGGATATTTCTGATAAAGTTCTTGATAAAACTCGGACTGGAGTCTTGGATGAACCTGCATGTCCATGTCCAGTGTCAGATCACCCTGAGACCTGTGCACCTGAAAATATATAAAAAACAAATTTAAAAACTTTTGTGAAATTTCTGAATCAGTAAAAACAATCATTTTGTGAAGAGTTCTGACATAACCTCTTATACAATGTTGACACTGTGTTATTTCAACATGATATACATTTCTAATCTATAAAAAACATAAAAAATACATTCAGTACTCAAGATCTTTTTATTTATTGACTCAATAAAACTGATGTAAAGCCTAATTTAAATAATCAGCTTTTTAAAGGCCACTTTAAAGAGGCTTTATTTTATTATGACTTAGGTGTGTAAATTCTTAACTCTTATAATTGAAATATTATCTTAGGGTTTCATTCCTGACGTAAGATTAGTTGTTATACACTATTTATCATATGTTACCAGATTAAACACACATCCAAATATCCTTTTATCACAACATTACAATTTTGTTCTTACTGTAATTTTGAAATAGATAAAATACAAAATATGGTATTTATTAATTAAACATTGACAAGATGTCAAATTACACTCGAGGTCTTTCAATTTAGCTGAATAAACAAGCAGATCTATTGCCAGCGTCCCCTCGGGCATTTTCCCATATTGTATCATCAGTCATTAGCGTATCAATAATTAATTTGGATGATCTATATAATTAATTAATTAAAGTTGCCATGTCTATGCTGTTGCTGGTTTTTTCTTTCCTCCCAGTCAGTCAGAAAATTGAAATTTTATGATAACGAAAGGTCTTATTTCTGACAATGGATCAATGTGGCAATAAAATGTTAATGATGCAATGTCTCCATCAAACTCCGAGGCCAAATATATGTCAGTAACTGACTTACCATCCCAATTTGTTTCATCCTAATAATAAAATGATAATTTCAAAAATTTAACAAAATTTGACAGATTTTCAACAGGATACTTGTCTAAAAATGAAAAATTATTATTTTTTTGGATGACAATTCTAAAGTCACATTAACTCTGTTGAGGTCATAGGGCAAGTTACCAGCTTCCCTCAGGTGGCCTGGATGATAATTACCTCAGGTGTACCTAAACTGTGCATTTAATTGTGCACATGTGTGTATGTGGTTGGGGAGAGCAGGGGATTTAAGGGGCTGGGTGGAAGACCACTGTGTCATAAATTACATTTAACAAAAGTATATATTGCTCAAAACTTTCAAACCAATAATTTTTCCATATTTTCTGCATATTTCCAAATGTTTTTAATCTCTTTCTTTTTCGATGCTATGTTTACTATATTGAAAGAGAACAATTATAAAACAAGGTCGATACTGGTAAGATTATTACTGATATCATATCAGATGACACCTGGCATTTCTTTCCAAAGAGATTCACTGTTATAGATGTCATACAATATTTCATTCTATCCTTTTGTAGCAATATGGAAATCAATAAACATTCACAGAGCTTATGATAACCTTACATCAAGTATTTATTTATACAAAGTATAAGTTCATCACCTAAAATTCTCCAAACATCAGCCTTCCAAAATACATATTTTTGTTTGTGCATGTGGGGTTCCGGTAAATGGTATACTTTAAAGTTTTACATAGAGAAGAATTTGCTTATACATGTATATGGACCTGAGTGAGAAAATAAGAAGAACTTTTTTGGGCCATCTGTGGAAGAGTGGTTTAGGTTCGTGACTTCAAACCTGAGTCTTGCCTCTCGCCACAATGTGGGTCCTGTCTGGGACTTTTCTTTCGTGAGATAAGGCTATCTAGCCAGCTTAAGGAACATGATTTTGTCAAATTATGATGTGTGTTTTTATTCAAATTTCCCAAATACGATGTAACTTTCCCAACACAGTCATGGGGTTCGAGTTATTAAATAGTCGGGAAATTTAAATTCGTTTGTCCTGTGACACAGCCTGCCAGATGGTTGTAGTAATCTAAATTGTTTTGGTTCAAAAACCGCCAGAGATTTTCAGCATCTTGCAGCAGGGGGGTGAAAATCCAACCCTGGTTTTCTCCTGAGGATCGACTGCATTTACAAATGACTGGACAGGTGATTTTATGATAATTATATCATTTACCCTTTCATAGTTCAAGGCCCCGCCAGTAGTGGGGCGGGAAATTGAGAAAATAGTGCAAATTGTGATACAAGCATGAAACTTTCAGGAAATCATCTTTAGACCAAGTAGATTTCAAAAGTGAAGTGGGCCCAAAAATATCTCTGCTAGTTCAAGATGGCCGCCATTTTCAAAATTAACAATTTTATATGGAAATAAGCGTACTTTGTGCAAATAATTACACTACAAAAGAGATATATCAGTTTAACAAGGTCAAAGTTTGAGTTTGTAATTGCATAAAATTGGCAGCCATATTGGACGCCATTTTGGATTCTGAAGAAGTATGCAAGCGAAATTGCTAAAAAAATTAATTTTTTGAAAAGATGAAAAATTATTTGCATGATTTGGTGTAAGGTGCAGGTCTGTACAAAAAATTGGAATAAATGAGCTATTATATACATCAAATTTGTATGGTGGCCATCTTGAATGAGCAGAGATATTTTTGGGCCCACTTCACTTTTGAAATCTACATGGTCTAAAAATGATTTCCTGAAAGTTTCATGCTTGTATCACAATTTGCACTATTTTGACAGCAGAGACCTTATTTCCCGCCCCACTACAGTGCCTCCTGACTGTTGTTACATTAACTGTTGCATTTATAACACATTTTTGTATATATACATGTATATATATATATAATCTCATCATCATTTACTCTAGCTCTCATTAATCATTTTTCAACTGTGGTCTTCTTTATCATATTTAACCATCATTATAACTTCAATTACTTTGCTATCTGCAAGTTTCCATCAAAAGTCAGTAACCTAGAGCTTATTATGAAAGTTATTAACCTTGTTCTTTCTCTTATTAATATATATACAGTTATTATTGGTAAATCTCATAGACTGAGGCAATTACATTTATTCATTCATGAAATTAAGTAAATGTTCACTGTTTTGATTTTTATTACTTTAAAATTTTAGAACAATTGAAATATTTGCTTATTAATTTTGTTTTAATTAAATTAATGGATTTTAAGTCACATAAACAGTGTAAAGGTGACTCATTATAAGTGGCAACATTTCAGGTTTACTGGTGGTCCAGGAAGACCTGAGAGGTGTCCATCCATGCCTTATTTCAGGCACAAGCACGGGTACCCCATGCGGTATATATTAACCACTGACATTCCGTAAACCTACCATTATCATATTGAGTAAAAACTATGTATGCTCAAAGCAAAATCTAATTTACATAACTTTAACTAAATAACTTTAGTATGTGTACATAAAAATGATATGACCAAAACAGCTTTCCTGATCAACAAAAAAGACAAAAAAAGAGGTTTGATGCAGTCTAGACTGAGACTTAACTGGTACCCTAATGTTTCCAGGCTATACTTCTTTACCCATATCCTAGTTGCTAAAAGACCATGGCAGGGTGTACTTAACCAACTGTTTGGCTCTAGTCAGTACCTGCATTCACGGTCTTATGTGGCCAAAACCTTCGTACCAGAGAGACTGAGCTTACAGTGATTGTTTAGTTATAGTAAATTCCTGATGTCACTATAGTCTTACCACTGAAAATTTTTGCGGTGTCTAGTGGAATAACTGTAACATTTAGTTAGTCCAAAGTGTCCGAACCCTGTCTATAATGATTATGGAGCAACATTGTAATTAAAATAGTACAACAATAGTAGAAGATTAATTCAGTATTTTTACTGAACATCTTAGCAGTTATTTAAAAACAAACCAAGTGACCTTGACCCCTTTAAAAGTTACTTCAAGGAATATGTGTACCAAACTGTGAATTCTAAGACAATTTATTGATCGACTGAGGAATTACAATATTTTAATGCTGCTATGAACCGAAACCCTAACATTATTTTTTATCTACAGCCTCACCAGGCCTACCAAAAATCTTTCTGACTGACTATTAATAAATAAGAGACCATTAAAAACTGGAATAGAATAAGTTGACAGATAGATCGATGGCCAAACTCAATAAAAAAATTTTTAGCCTAAAAATAGAAACATATTACATTACAAATCAATGATTGTTCGATTATAAAATTGTAAAATTGAGTACTTTTGATTACCTTAAAGAATTATAGACATACGAATCATTATTGCTACATTTCGTTTTATATTCACTACACATGTAGGTACATTGTTTACACATTGTTTTTAATAAACCATTTATTACATTTTCTAATGTATATTTTGTATTCTATGTATGATGCAATAAAAGTTATGTTATTTTCAAATTCTAAGTACCAACGTATTGTTTTATAGTTGGATCATAAAGAAAAAAACATTTATACAGTATCATAACTAGACAGTATTTCTCATGTTTACTATAATAGGACTTCCGATATCTTTTCTAGGAGGGGGGATCATGGGGGAGTACATGTAATTCACTATATTTGAGAATTCCCCCCTATTTCATCAGAGGCGGGGGGGGGGGGATTTTGTGACACAAATGAAGAAGGAAAAAGATAAACAATTGCAATAAATTCTCACTTTTCGATAAAAATCCCAGTTTTTTCGAATCCTAGAATACTGACACTGGACTTCATCATCTATCATACACAGACATGCTAAAAATAGGCATTATATTCATAATGCTGATATTCTTAACCCATACCCTGCAATGGACTTGTCCAGTTTCTAAATTTGGAATTGCTCATAGTACCAAATTTTGGGGAATTAAGATGAATATAGTGGAGCAGTCTAGCCTCAGTCTGGGACAATTCTAAGTAAGATTGCATGGAAATGCAGGCTCAGGCCAATGGCATTATCGATAACAGCATGGTGTAAAAGGCTCAAGCCTAATATTAAAGTTACCAAAATTTGGTTCCAGCAGTTGAACGGTAAAAGAAAAGCATTTCATTTGGTTTTGACCAAAAAATATCTTTATGTAATACTGTCATTGTTACAGAAGATATGTAATTTATTTAAATAAGGAAAATTACATGGGTGTGCTATTTTGATGGA